CCAGGGGTTGGATTATTTGGCATGGGATGTATTAAGGGGGCTGATGAAGGGGAGCAGGGGGTTGAAAAGGGGGGCATGGGACTGATTAAAGGGGGGCAGGTGGGTGATAGGGGTGGGAGGGTACTGATGAGGGGGTCAGGGAATGATAAAAGGGGGAGGGGATTGGTGAGGGGGTCAGGGGACTGATGAATGGGGCAGAGGGCTGTTAAAGGGGTGGGAGGGGATTGATTAGGGGGTCAGGCGGCTGATGAATAGGGGCAGAGGGCTGAGTAAAGGGTGGGAGGGAATTGATGAGAGGGGCAGGGGACTGATGAAGGGGTGGCAGGAATTGATAAAGGGGTGGGAGGGGATTGATGAAGGGTAAGGGGTGGCTAGGAGTTTGACGATGGGATGGCCAGGGCATTGATGAAGGGGAAGGGGTGGCCAGGAGTTTGATGAAGTGGTGGCCAGGGGCTTGGTGAAGATCTGGCCAGGGATTTTGGTTAAGAGGTGCAGTGGTTTTATAGAAGGGGGTGGAGGCAACAGATTGTGAATGCTCCTAAAATAGTTTGAAGGGGTCCAAACAGAGACAGGTGAGGGGGGGGGGGGGGGGCCCCAAGATTGTTTCGCACAGGGCGCCTGAACACCTAAGGCCGGCCCTGCTCATTATTACATTTATAGATTGTCTGTCACACCTACATTTTAGTTAGGTTAAAAAAAAACCTGCCTCTTATTAGTACACTCCTGCACTTTCTTAACCCATAAAACACCTTCACCTGCTCTTGATATTCCAATTATCTCCATTATTTTTCACAGTTTAGCAATGATCTGTTTTCTCCTCCTCTTTATTTCCTCAGTCTCCCTCAGTATAAAAATCTCTCCTTACACCCAGATCACTCATCCCCCCATCCACATTTACATATGCCCTTCTCTGCTACACTCCCCCCTTCTCTCATCTCATGCCTTACACTAATTTTTCTACTCTCTCACTCCAACCCATAATCGATCTCATCCTAGACCCCATGCATACAAAACCCATTCACACCTCCTGTCACTTTCTCTCCTCCTACTTCTAGCAGCTGGTGATGTCTCTCCCAATCCAGGGCCCTTCGCCTTCTCTACACACACTAAGACAACCAGAAACCCCACAAACCTCATCACAATACCCTGCCCTTTACCCTCACTTACCAAAATTCATTGTGCACTCTGGAATGCCCGCTCCATCTGCAGTAATTTAAAATCAACAACCATACACGACTTTTTCATCTCAAACTCACTCACACTGCTTGCACTTACAGAGACCTGGCTGTCCCCCTCTGATAGCGCTACTCCTGCCTCTTTATGTTTTGGTGGGCTACAATTCTCTCACACTCCCAGACTCAACTGTAAAGGAGGTGGCGTAGGCATCCTTCTCTCCCCTCAATATACCTTTCAACCAATCATAACTCCCCCTGCCCTATCCTTTTCTTCTTTTAAAGTTCACACTGTCTGCCTATTTAAAGGACCACTATAGTGCCAGGAAAACATACTCGTTTTCCTGGCACTATAGTGCCCTGAGGGTGCCCCCACCCTCAGGGACCCCCTCCCGCCCGGCTCTGGAAGGGGGAAAGGGGTTTAAACTTACACCTTTTTCCAGCGCTGGGCCCGAGGGCTCTCCTCCTCCGATCCTCCCCGCCGGCTGAATGCGCACGCGCGGCAAGAGCTGCGCGCGCATTCAGCCGGTCGCATAAGAAAGCATTTACAATGCTTTCCTATGGACGCTGGCGTGCTCTCACTGTGAAAATCACAGTGAGAAGCACGCAAGCGCCTCTAGTGGCTGTCAATGAGACAGCCACTAGAGGGAGTAGGGGGAAGGCTTAACCCATCAATAAACATAGCAGTTTCTCTGAAACTGCTATGTTTATTAAAAAATGGGTTAACCCTAGCTGGACCAGGCACCCAGACCACTTCATTAAGCTGAAGTGGTCACCTGTCCTAGTTCTGCAACCTCCTTCTACAATTCCACCCTCTCCTCTCAACTAGACATCATGGCACCTTGTACATTTAAACACCGCAGCCCCCCTCCCCCCCAACAACAACCCTGGCACACCAAGCTCACTCTATACCTCCAAAAATGCTCCAGAACTGCTGAACGCTGTTGGAGAAAGTCTCACTGTGCATCTGACTTTCTTCACTATAAATTTATGCTGAGCTCATACAGCTTGGCTCTTTCCTCTGCAAAAATTAATTACTTCAATACACTCATAACCACACTCTCCCGCGAACCCAAACGACTATTTCACACATTTAACTCTCTTCTTCGCCCTGCTGTTCCTCCTCCACCTACTAACTTGACCGCCTCAGACTTTGCAACTCACTTCACTGACAAGATCAGAGAAGAGATCTCTCATCTTTCTTCTTCCCCTTACAATACTTCCCCTAACTTCACTCCCTCTGCTGTTCTATGTTCATTCGCACCCGCTACATTGGAAGAGGTTTCTGCTCTGCTCCAGTCCTCCCGCCCCACCACCTGCTCCCTAGATCCAATTCCCTTGCATCTCATGCGTACTCTGTCTTCTTCTCTTTCTCCACCTCTCACTAAAATTCTCAATCTCTCTCTCTCCTCTGGTATATTTCCATTGCCCTTCAAACTTGCAACTGTAACCCCAATTCTAAAGAAGCCCAATCTTGACCCTAACTCCCCATCCAACTATCGTCCTATCTCGATACTGCCTTTTGCATCCAAGATCCTTGAAAAAATTGTGTATGCGAGATTGACAAAACTTCCTCGAGTCCAACTCTCTGCTAGACCCGCTTCAGTCTGGTTTCCACGCTAAGCACTCTGTGGAAACGGCACTGACCAAAGTATCCAATGATCTGCTCGCTGCAAAATCTCGTGGTCACTACTCTATCCTAATTCTCCTTGACCTGTCTGCGGCTTTTGACAGTGTTGATCATCAACAGCTTCTTCTCATCCTCCGCAATATCGGTCTACAAGATACTGCTCTCTCCTGGTGCTCCTCCAACCTCTCCCAGCGCTCTTTCAGTGTTTCTTTCTCTGGCTCTGCTTCTTCTCCCCAACTCCTCTCTGTTGGTGTGCCTCCAGGTTCAGTCCTTGGTCCCCTACTGTTCTCCATCTATACTGCCTCCCTTGGTAAACTCAGCTCCTTTGGCTTCCAATATCATTTCTATGCAGATGACACACAAATCTACCTGTCCTCTCCTGATCTCTCCCCGTCCCTCTTGACTAGTGTATCTGACTGCCTCTCTGCTATTTCTAACTGGATGGCTGCCAACTTCCTTAAACTAAACTTGACCAAAATGGAAATTCTAGTCTTTCCTCCCTCAAGTGTTGTTACTCCTGTGTCTGTCTCCAGTGCTACCATCAGCTCCACCACACAGGCTCGCTGCCTAGGTGTTCTCTTTGACTCCGACCTCTTCTTTAAAAGCCTCATGTTCAATCTATCGCCAAATCCTTTCATTTTCTTTTTTATGAATATAATTTTTATTTATTCTTGTGTTACTTATGCGGAGATCGGAGACTCGCAGGTCTCTAAGGTGAGTAGTCATAATTTTTCCTTGAAAACAACAATGTATGTTTGGGCTCGCAGGCCCACAATGTTGATGGACTTGCAAGTCCCTATTTTCCAGGTTCACAAGCACCTTCAAGTACATCTTACCATCTGCCATTTGTTTTCCTAATTGGGTTTTGTTTACATGGTTTATACGTTTCATGTATAGTAGCCGGTGGTCTCCTTATGTTTGTGTTGAGGTTCGCAGACCTCGTATGCAGCCTTTATTGTTAGGTGCCGTTCAGGTCCCTAAATTTAGTGTTGGGCTTTATGCCTGTAGCAGATTAATGTGAGTCTCCCCTTAGTGTCCCGGGTGTCCTGTATCTAGGGTACAATGTACCTGTGTTGAGAGGGTTATGACTCATATTTCGGGGGGGTTTGAACGTGGTTCGTTGCTGCCCTCAGGCTATGTTGTGGTTATCCCGTCTGCTCGGTCTATGTTTCATTAGTGTCTCTTGGAATTTATGAGTTGTGTGTGAACCCGTATGGGTTTTCCGTTCAGGGCCCTAGTGTCTCCTCTATATGAAATAATTTCTGCTTTGATTGGGGTATCGTCCTGTGTGGGTCTTTAGGAGAGAGGGGGTGGGAAAGGTCGGGGTTAGGGTGAGGAGGGGGGTGTCTGTAGTCGTTGTCTCCGTCGTCTGTCGTCTAGTGGGTGTTCTAAGCCTAACTGTCCGTGGTTTGGCGTACGTCTGTTCCGAGTTCCATTTGGAAGCCTTCCTTCGCTGTCTCTAGGATCCAATATGTCCAAATGTCCGTGTAGGTCTTTGTGGTCACGTTAGTCGTCATGGTCAGTTCTTCTGTTATTCTGAGTTCCTCCATTTGGCTGAACCAAGTCTTAAGTGGAGGTGTTATGTTCTGTTTCCAGTATTGGGGGATTACCCGTTTGGCTATATTAAGTATTCGGATGGTCATGGATCGTTTGTACTTAGAGTGTGGTGTAGGAGTGTGGTGTAGGAGCATTGCTGCTGGTTCCAAGGAGGGTGGTTCGTCTGTGAATTTCTCTAGCATTCTGTGTATGTTTTGCCAGTATGGTTTAATTTTTGTGCAGTCCCACCAGATGTGTTTCATGTCTCCCTCTTCTCGTTGGCATCTCCAGCATAGGCCAGATTGATCTGGGTTTATCTGATGTAGGAGGTGTGGTGTCCTGTACCAGTGGGTTAGTAATTTGTAGGCTGTCTCTTGTGTTTTACTGTGTGTGGAGCAGTGGTGTGTGAGCAGATGGATTCCCATTCTGTGTCTGTCAATGTGTGTCCCAGGGCTTTCTCCCATTTCCCCATAAATACAGGTGTCTCAGTTGGGATGTCTGTTTGCAACATGGTGTATAGGAAGGACACTCCGTGTGGGAGCGGGTCTGGGTGCATGCATATCACCTCTATTGTGGTATGTTCTCTAGTGAGTGCTGAGCCCTGTGGTAGGGTGTGGATGTAGTTGGTTAGTTGGGAATATCGAAAGTTGTGCATGAAAGTCGGGGGTACGTCTCCCAACATGTCCGGAAGCTTTTTGCATTTCCCGTCTTGCATGACGTGATGTAAGCATGGGTGTGTGTCTGGAAGGATGCCTCTAAAGGCCCTCGGGTCTAGCCCGGGGGGGAAGTCTTTGTTAAACGTCAATGGAAGGAGGGGAGAGGGGTATGGCGATATGTTTCCCTTCACCGCTACTCTTCTCCATATTTTTAGGGTGTGTTTGGTGTAGATGGACATTTCGTCCCAGTTCGTCGCGTTTCGGTCCCATGGCAGTCCCGAGATTGGTCTACCCGCCTCCGTCTCCTCCACCGTCTTCCACAGTTTGTGTACCCTGTCTTTTGTCCACTCTACAACTCTCTGTAGGTGTGTGGCCACATAGTATAGGTGGAAGTCTGGGAGGGCTAAGCCTCCTTTATCTTTAGGTCGCGTCAGGATAGTGAATTTCACCCTTGGTTTCCCCCCATTCCATACGTATTTTATCATCTCTGTTCTAAGGGTTTCAAAAAAGGGGCTCGGGAGCTCGATGGGGATGGCTTGGAGGAGATAGAGGAGGCGTGGTAAGAAGTTCATTTTTATTACTTGTACCCTCCCCAGCCAGGAGATGTGAGGATGTGCCCATTCCCGCATGTCTTTTTGAAATGTCTGTAGTGTGTTTGTAAAGTTTTCCTTAAGCATGTCCCCACTCTGCCTAGTCAACCAGACTCCCAAGTATCGGATCTTGTGCTCGGCCCACTGGAAGGGGAAGCTGTGTCGAAGGGAGTTTACCCGTGTGGTAGGGATGCTAATATTAAGAATGAACGATTTACTGTTATTGATCTTCAGGTTGGATATTTCTCCATATATCTGTAGGTCTTTCTGGATGTTTGGGAGAGAGATTTCAGGGTTGGTTATGATGAAGAGTAAATCGTCCGCATAGGCGGCCACTTTGTGATGTGTGGTGTCTGTCGTTAGGCCAGTTATGTCTGTGTTGTTTCGGATGTGTGTAAGGAACGGTTCGAGGGCAAGGACGAACAGTAGTGGCGAGAGGGGGCATCCCTGCCTCGTGCCATTGTGTATTTGGAAGGCGTCTGTCAGTGCCCCATTTACCAGCACTTGGGCTGTTGGTTCTCGATATAGTGCCTCTATCCATTGTCTCATGTGCGGTCCTAATCCCACATGGGCCAGTGTCTCGAAGAGGTATGTCCAGTTTACTCTGTCGAAGGCCTTCTCTGCGTCCGTTGACAGCAGAAGAAGACCCGTTTTCATACTCTCTTTCCCGTGCATGAGAGTGAGCGCTCTGATGGTATTGTCTCGGGCTTCTCTACCTGTCACGAACCCTACCTGGTCTGGGTGGACCAGTGAAGGGATATGTTTTGTAAGTCGGGTTGCAAGGATTTTGGCCAGTAGTTTAATGTCGCAATTTATTAGTGATATCGGTCTGTAGTTTCCGCATTGTTCCCTATCTTTGCCGTCCTTGGGGATAATAGTGATGTGGGCTGTTAGGGCTTGTCTGGGGATGTGGTTCCCTTCTCGTATCGCGTTGAACGCCTCTACCATGGGTGTGTATAAGTCTTCGGCATATGTTTTGTAGTATTTGATCGGCAGACCGTCTGGTCCTGGGCTTTTGCCTGGTTTGGTTAGCTTAATCGCTAGTGCTAATTCTTCTATTGTGATTGGTTCGTCTATTAGTTCTGCTGTTTCTGGGTCTAGTGACGGTGTCTGATATTTCGTCAGGTAGTCGCGAATAGTGGCCCTAAGGCGCGTTGTCGCCGTATCAGTTTTTGGTTGAGGGAGTGCGTATAGTTCTGTGTAGTATGTACGTATTGTTTTCATGATGTCTGTCGGGAGTCGGTGTAAGGTCCCCTGTTTGTCTCTAATCTTGTCGATGTATGTGTGTTGTCTCTGTTTCCTCAGCATTGCGGCTAAGAGTCTGCCGCTTTTGTTCCCATGTAATGTAAAAAAGGCTTTGTGTCTGGTTGCGTCTCTGTGGTGTTTAGAGTGTAGTAGTGTGGCTAGTTCCCGTCTTAGTTGTAGGAGTCGGGTTTGGTGTGTGTGGTGTGGGGTTTGTTTGTTTTGGTCTCGTGTATGTTGGCTATCAGTTCCTTGAGACGAGCTTCTGTTTGTTTCTTTGCTATTGCTCCCTGTTGTATATAGTGGCCCCTTATCACGCTTTTATGCGCTTCCCATCGTATCATTGGGGATGTTTGCTCCCCTGTGTTGGTTAGCAGGTAGTCTCTGATCTTCTCCCTTATGAGGGTTACGACTTCTAGTTTAGTGAGTAAGTATTCATTCAGTCTCCATTTCGAAGTCGTGGGGCGGTAGAGTGGTGATTTGAGTTTGATTGCAACTGGGGCGTGATCTGACCATGTGGCCACTCCGATTGTTGCATCGGACACTAGGGATAGGTCGTGGTATGTTGTATATATGTGGTCTATTCGTGAGTAAGAGTTGTGGGGGTGGGAGTAAAAGGTGAAGTCTCTCACGCCCGGGTGGTGGGCTCTCCAGCAGTCCACCAGGCGGTGACTGCGGAGTAGGGATTTAATGGTGGAAATTTGCTGTGTGGGGATGTGTGAAGTGCCTGTCGAGTTGTCCCATGTCGGATCGAGCGTTACGTTGAAGTCTCCCCCTATTATAAGAGTCCCTTCTGTGAAGGCTTGGAGTTTACGGAATGTCTGTTTGAGGAAGCGATATTGTTGTGAGTTTGGTGCGTAGATGTTTGCAAGTGTGTATTGGTGGTCTGCAATCTTCCCTTTAAGGAATAGGTATCTGCCCTCGTCGTCTGTCATACATCCCCCCTCCTGGAATGGCACCTTCTTGTGAAAAAGTATAGCTGTCCCTCTCGCCTTGCCCCCTTGGTAGTCGCTATAGTATCCCTGCGTGTAGTGCTGATTTGTCAGTTTGGGTCTGGTTTCCTTTTTGAAGTGGGTTTCCTGTATCATGACTATTGAGGCCCTCTGTTTGTGGAAGTCTCTGAGCGCTCCTGATCTCTTCTCAGGTTTGTTTAGGCCTTTTGCATTAATCGTAAGAATGTGCAAAGATTCTGGGGTCAATGCCATGTCGTCTAGTCTGATCTGGTTTTTGTCGTCAGGTGGTGTGGGGGGTGGTTTCGCCCTAATTCACTGAGGTGTGTGTAGTCTCTGGTCGTCACTTGTCCTGCGGTCAGTGTCGGGTTGGAGGGTCGGGAGTGGGGATAGGTATGGGTTAGGGTATTTAAGGTAGTCTTAGGTGTTCCCTAAGTGTTTCGGTACCTTTGTCACTGATCGTGATGGCTAGGTTTAGGCGTCGGGGAGCGTCTGTCCACGGCACCACCAGTGATGCGCGTGGATTGCTCACCTGTCGTGTGTCGCCTTGCCTGTCGGGCAGTGGTTGGGGTCCAGGCGTCTGGATCGATTCCTTGGTAGTGTGTCCTGTCTCGTGTTTTCCCTATGCGGCTCCTCGGTGCCTGCTCCTGGGGAGCGTGTCTGCTTGTCCCGCCTCTGGGTGTGGTAGCTCTCGGGCTTGTGTGGGTGTGCATCTTTGTGAGAAGCCTTTTGTTTTCGACTAGATAGTAAGATGTAGACAATAACAATAACATTAACATTCCAGTATATAGTCACAACAGGTGAAAACAACATTTTCAACATTTCGTATCAGAAGTTTATGTGCCGTTTGTCCCCGCCCCCCTTTACCCCAAGTTCCCTTTGACCCTCCTGGCTAATGTGTTTTTTGCGTCCCTCGTTTCTTCGTGGCTTGTTCGTTAGTTTGTTGGGGCGCGTGCGTGCTCTTAGTGAGGGCCGATTGTGTAGGCTAGTTCCTTGCTTCAGGATCTGATCGGTGTGGTCTCTTATTGTCTCTGCGTCTATGTTGGGTGTACCCTGTCTAGTGTACCCTGTGTGTCGTGCTGTTTGTAAGGGATGTTTGTGTGTTAAATGTTCCTGTTGCTCTGGGTGCGGGTAGGCGCCCCCACCCCGGGTGTGCCCCGCCGGCATCGCCCACCGCCTGCTCCCCACGGATCGTCACAGTGCGGTTAGGTTCTGGCGGCCAGGCCAGCCGGGGGGGCGGCCCCCCCCCCCTTTCCCTGTTATTACGGTGTCGGGGCAAGGAGTGCGCTCTCCTGTTTCCCCTCTCCCCATCCTCTGGTTTCAACCCGTTTAGTCCAGGGGTAGCCCATCTGGCCTAGGGGTCCTGTAACCGTCCTGCCTTTTGGGCCTCCAGGCTTAGAGTATGTCTCTGAGTCTCTCTTTTTGTTTCTGTGCTGTACCTCTTTGGGTGTGTCATCTCTTGGGTGTATACTTGCGGTTCTGGGGTTTTTCATCGCTGTGTTTTCAGGAGGTCTGGTTTCTTCGTGCGGGGGCTAGCGACATCTATCTGTGTTGCGGTTAAGTTTTGTGGGTTCCTGGGAGGGTGGGCGGAATACACACGGTCTTTTTACATGTTGGTACCCGTAGGGCGAGTTGTCTGTTGTCTCGTCCTTCTGGGTCTGGGTTGTTGTTGTGTCTGGCGTTGCGTCTCAGGTGAATAGGTGTAGAAGGCCATTGGATCCGGCCATGACAGTTGTATCGGCGGTAGTTGTAGTTCTCTGCTTAGGTCCAGTAAGTCTACGCCGTTCCGTACTGTAAATGGGCCGTTGCTTGTGGTAACTTGTACCCCGGTGGGGAAACTCCACCTGTATCTGATCTTATTGGTTTGCAGTATTCGTGTGAGTGGGCGCATGGCTCGCCGGTATGCCAGTGTTGCCGGGGAGAGATCTGGGTACAGTTGTATTTCTGTGCCGTTGTGCATGATTTGTCTTTTGTCTCTGGCACTTCTCAGGATGTCTTCCTTCACTTGGTATTGTGTTAGGCAGCATATTACATCTCTGGGGGGGGAATCTGGTGGGCCCCTGGGTCTGAGGGCTCTGTGCGCCCTGATAAATTCAATGAGCGTCGCAGTCGGCCTTTGCAGGAGGGTGTTAAAGATTTCGGTGAGGGTGTCGCGCACTGGGGATGTCTGGTCCCATTCCTCAGGTAGACCCCTGATTCTAATGTTTTGTCGCCTCCCCCTGTTGTCCAAGTCCTCTATGTGGAGGGCCATTTGGCTAAGCTGTGCTTCTTGTCGCCGTATGGTGTTTGTTGTGGCATTCTGTGCCGATGTCACATGGTCACAATCCGCCTCCAATTGGGCCAGTTTATTATGAATCCCCTGGATGTCTTCCCTCAGGGCCTGGAGTTCCCCAGTGATGGACTTATGGAGGGCGGCATTAGCCTCCTTCAGGTCACTCTTAGTGGGTAGGTTCTGTATTAGTGATACCCAGTCCAGCTGGGTTAGGGGGGTGTCTGTCGGATGGTGTACCTGTTCAAGGCCGTGCTGTTCATCCCTGGGTGAGGTCGGGCGGGCCAGGCCCGAGGCCTCTGGGGTGTTGGAGGCCTGAGAGGCATGGTCCGTCTGGGCCGTCAGGTACTGGCGCATGTTTGGCGCTTGCGACCCCCTCGGCGTGTTGGCTGCCGCCACGGTTTGCTGTGGCTTGTGTGTTTTGCCCATTTTGGGCGTCGATGGGGCTGTCGAGGCGGGTGAGTGTTGTGAGCCTGGAGGGAGCTCGTGGTTCACGCCGCCATTCCGTCCGGCGCCCAAGCCACGCCCCCGTCCAAATCCTTTCATTTTCATCTCAAAAACATTGCGTGCATGCGCCCCTACTTAACGCCAGATGCGACTAAGGTGTTGGTCCATTCCACTGTCCTTTCTCGCCTTGACTACTGGAATCCGCTTCTCAGTGGTCTTACGTGCTCCCACCTTGCGCATACATAATGCTGCTCCCACCTATCTATCCTCCCTTATACACAAGTATGTCCCGTCTAGGCCCTTACGATCTGCTGAATACTTACGTCTATCTTCTGTCCGTACTCCCACCTCTGATGCTCGCCTTCAAGATTTCTCGAGGGCTGCACCGTTCCTGTGGAACTCGCTTCCCTCCTCCGTTAGATGCTCACCCAGTCTCCACTCCTTCAAAAAATCGTTAAAAAACAAACTTCTTCATAAAAGCGTATCAATTAAACTGTTAATAGCTCCTGACTGATTCCTCTTCTGCGACTGTCACTAGTCTAATACTATCCTTACCTTTTTGTGTCATTTTACCCCACTCCCTCTAGCATGTAAGCTCATTGAGCAGGGCCCTCAACCCCTCTGTTCCTGTGTGTCCAACTTGTCTGGTTACAAATACATGTCTGTTCGTCCACCCATTGTAAAAAGCTGCGGAATTTGACGGCGCTCTATAAATATCATAATAATAATGTAACATAAAGTCTCATGTCACTATCATAAAATTCATTAAACAAACTAATGATAAAAAGTATAATTAAAAAGATAAAAAGTTAGTTAGCGTTAACATTCCCTGCTTAGTGGGTCTGCCAGCAATTACAATCAGAAGCATCTATTGTAGTTTGTGAGGTCTGTTTCTATGACTTGTCTAACAGGAGGTTATTTAATAAGTAGTTTATAATCCAACAGTATTTCTACTCACGGCGTAAGATGTGTGAACCTGAGACAACATATGTTTATAATTTCGTACTGCACTGACAGTAGCATCATCAGAGCAATTATTTCCTGCACTGAGCAAAAAAACCAATGCTCTGCATAAGGACATCCAGCGTCAGTAAAATCCCCATAGGAAAGCTTTAAGGCAATGCTTTCCTATGGGGAGGGAGTAATGCATTACCCCTCCCCCCATGTCGGATGATGTTGGAGGAGGTGGAGCGCCGACTTGCAGCGCTGGAATATGGTATTTGAATAAATGGTTTTTAATTCTTTATGTTCTGGGGTTGGGCGTGATGGAGTTGGTGTCCAGAGAGCCCTATGGTGTTTAGAATGCAGAACTGTATTCCTAACAATTTAGATTCTCTTTAAAGGGATTCTCCAGTGCCAGGTAAACATCATAGTTTTCCTGGTACTACAGGACCCTCTAGTGCCCCTCTCCCTCCCACCCCCCATCCCAAGTTGCTGAAGGGGTTAAAACCCGTTCAGTGACTTACCGGAGTCCAGCGCAGATGTACCTCAGCGCTGGGTCAGGCTCCGCCTATGCAACTCCCCTGCCGAATGTGCATTAGACCTCCCCATAGGAAAGCATTGAATAATGCTGGAGGTCATCACATAGCGTGAGGACGTCCAGCGTCATTTTAAACCACTTTTCGTCTTTTATGAACACGGAAGTGTCCTCTACTAGACAGCCATTAGAGGAGGAGTTAACCCTGCAAGGTAATTATTGCAGTTGCAGTGTTAAGGGTAGTGGTCTGGGTGCCTGGAGTGTCCCTTTAATGTTGTTGCTGGCTGTAACGCTCGGCTCCGGCAGGGGGAGCTCTGGCCGCAGGTCTGTCAGTGCGGTCGCTGGCTGTAACGCTCGGCTCCGGCAGGGGGAGCTCTGGCCGCAGGTCGCAGGTCTGTCAGTGCGGTCGCTGGCTGTAACGCTCGGCTCCGGCAGGGGGAGCTCTCTCGCAGGTCTGTCAGTGCGGCCGCTGGCTGTAACGCTCGGCTCCGGCAGGGGGAGCTCTCTCGCAGGTCTGTCAGTGCGGTCGCTGGCTGTAACGCTGGGCTCCGGCAGGGTAACGCTCGGCTCCGGCAGGGGGAGCTCTCTCGCAGGTCTGTCAGTGCGATTAAGCTGGCTGTAGCCGGCTCCGGCGGGGCTCACTGCGCAGGTGTCGGTCGCGATTGGCTGGCTGTAGCGCTGTCCGGCGGGGGAGCTCTGGCCGCCAGGTCTGTCGAATGCGGCCGCTGGCACCCATAGCGCTTCGGCTCCGGCCGGGGCTCGCCCAGGTCTATCCAGCGGTGCGGTGCGCTGGCTGTAGCTGGGCTCCGGCAGAGCTCTCTGCGCCAAGGTCTGTCGAAGTGCGATTGGCTGAAAACAGCAGCGGCTTCGAAGCTCCGGCAGGGGAGCTCCCACTTCGCGGGTCTGTCAGTGCGCGATTAAGCTGGCTTATGGCAGCTGGCTCCGGCAGGGGGAGCTCTGGCCGCAGGTCTGTCAGTGCGGTCGCTGGCTGTAATGCTCGGCTCCGGCAGGGGGAGCTCTCTCGCAGGTCTGTCAGTGCGGTCGCTGGCTGTAACGCTCGGCTCCGGCAGGGGGAGCTCTAGCAGCAGGTCTGTCAGTGCGGTCGCTGGCTGTAACGCTCGGCTCTGGCAGGGGGCGCTCTCTCGCAGGTCTGTCAGTGCGGTCGCTGGCTGTAACGCTCGGCTCCGGCAGGGGGAGCTCTAGCAGCAGGTCTGTCAGTGCGGTCGCTGGTTGTAACGCTCGGCTCCGGCAGGGGGAGCTCTCTCGCAGGTCTGTCAGTGCGGCCGCTGGCTGTAACGCTCGGCTCCGGCAGGGGGAGCTCTAGCAGCAGGTCTGTCAGTGCGGTCGCTGGTTGTAACGCTCGGCTCCGGCAGGGGGCGCTCTCTCGCAGCTCCTGGTAGTCTCTATGGTGTTTCCGGGCGCTGCGGACTCGGTTTGAAGGCCGCTGCTCGGGACGTGCTCGGCGGCTGCTTCCGGCGCCATGGGAAAACGGGACAACCGGGTGGTGAGTGAGGCCGATTACTCAACCGGGCGGACTACATTACCCAGACTGCACCGCGAGCTGCCATAGGAGAGACATGTCTGCACCCCAATACTGTGTATAACCCCATCATACCCTGCCTGCACCCCAATACTGTGTATAAACCCCATCACACCCTGCCTGCACCCCAATACTGTGTATAAACCCCATCACACCCTGCCTGCACCCCAATACTGTGTATAAACCCCATCATACCCTGCCTGCACCCCAATACTGTGTATAAACCCCATCATACCCTGCCTGCACCCCAATACTGTGTATAAACCCCATCATACCCTGCCTGCACCCCAATACTGTGTATAAACCCCACCATACCTTGCCTGCACCCCAATACTGTGTATAAACCCCATCATACCCTGCCTGCACCCCAATACTGTGTATAAACCCCACCATACCCTGCCTGCACCCCAATACTGTGTATAACCCCCATCATACCCTGCCTGCACCCCAATACTGTGTATAAACCCCATCATACCCTGCCTGCACCCCAATACTGTGTATAAACCCCATCATACCCTGCCTGCACCCCAATACTGTGTATAAACCCCACCATACCCTGCCTGCACCCCAATACTGTGTATAAACCCCATCATACCCTGCCTGCACCCCAATACTGTGTATAAACCCCACCATACCCCAATACTGTGTATAAACCCCATCATACCCTGCCTGCTCCCCAATACTGTTTATAAACCCCATCATACCCTGCCTGCACCCCAATACTGTGTATAAACCCCATCATACCCTGCCTGCACCCCAATACTGTGTATAAACCCCATCATACCCTGCCTGCACCCCAATACTGTGTATAACCCCCATCATACCCTGCCTGCACCCCAATACTGTGTATAACCCCCATCATACCCTGCCTGCACCCCAATACTGTGTATAACCCCCATCATACCCTGCCTGCACCCCAATGCCTGCAACCCCATCATACCCTGCCTGCACCCCAATACTGTGTATAACCCCCATCATACCCTGCCTGCACCCCAATACTGTGTATAACCCCATCATACCCTGCCTGCACCCCAATACTGTGTATAAACCCCACCATACCCTGCCTGCACCCCAATACTGTGTATAAACCCCACCATACCCTGCCTGCACCCCAATACTGTGTATAAACCCCATCATACCCTGCCTGCACCACAATACTGTGTATAAACCCCACCATACCCTGCCTGCACCCCAATACTGTGTATAAACCCCATCATACCCTGCCTGTACCCCAATACTGTGTATAAACCCCACCATACCCCAATACTGTGTATAAACCCCATCATACCCTGCCTGCTCCCCAATACTGTTTATAAACCCCATCATACCCTGCCTGCACCCCAATACTGTGTATAAACCCTATCATACCCTGCCTGCACCCCAATACTGTGTATAAACCCCATCATACCCTGCCTGCACCCCAATACTGTGTATAAACCCCATCATACCCTGCCTGCACCCCAATACTGTGTACAAACCCCATCATACCCTGCCTGCACCCCAATACTGTGTATAAACTCCATCATACCCTGCCTGCATCCCAATACTGTGTATAAACTCCATCATACCCTGCATGCACCCCAATACTATGTATAACCCCCATCATACCCTGCCTGCACCCCAATACTGTGTATTGACCTCATCATACCCTGCCTGCACCCCAATACTGTGTATAAACTCCATCATACCCTGCATGCACCCCAATACTGTGTATAACCCCCATCATACCCTGCCTGCACCCCAATACTGTGTATTGACCTCATCATACCCTGCATAACGAGGTTATCTAGCAGTGATTTCTTCCTGCAGGCTCCATCTAGTTCTAATGTGTGAGCCATGGACACAGATATACTCAATGTGTATCATATTAAAGATAACATAATAGGCTTCTTTACCAAACTGTGAATTGTAGTGAAATGAAAAACCATTGTCTGGTATTCAGGCGAAATAACTGAGGTTTAACTATTTTCCAACAAATCCCAGCTCGTCCATTGTGCAGATTTTATAAGTGGACATTCATAATGTATTCAATGCCAACTTCAAATATTATGTTTTATACAAAAATGTTGTGCGAGTAGTGCGTTTGTTTAAATGTTAATGTTACATGCAGGGCCGTCTTTAATATCACTAGGACCCTGGGCAAAGCATTTTCTTGGACCCCCTGGACCCCCTACTCCCTGGCATGTAATCACACCTTTCACATACATACTGACACATACACAGACAGACATACACACATACACTGACACACACATATACTGACAGACATGCTGACACAGCCAGACATACTGACACACCCAGACATAAACACACTAACAGGCATGCTGACACAGAGACAGACACATACCCTGACAGATATACTGACACACACACACATACCCTGACAGGCATACAGGCACACACTGACAGACATACTGATACACATACCCTAACAGGCATACTGACACACACACATACCCTGGCAGGCATACACATTGACAGGCATACTGACACACACTGACATACCCATTGACAGGCATACTGACAGACAACCTTCTGACACACAGACATACTGACACATTCAGACTTTAGAATCTACTCCCCATTTCGTACCTTCCTGCTTCCCTGGTGTCCAGAGTGGTGGCTGAGGCTTTTGGGGGTTGCTGACTGGCAATTCAGACCAGCCCCCCCCTCCTCTCTGCTTCCCTAGTGTGGTCTCTCTGGGAGGAAGTGACTCTTGGCAGTCACTTCCTCCCATGCTGCCAAAAAGCAAAGGGGCCTGGTCGTGCTATTAAAGGGCCAAAGCGCGCGACCAGTCTCCTGCTTACAAACGCCCAGGATGCACCGGGGGCCCATGGCTGGGGAGGGGAGAAAGTTGTCGTGGGCAGCGGGGCCCCGCGTTAAAGACGGCCCTAGTTACATGTTAAAATGTAACACTACTGTCTGCTCTTACCTAGCTTTTATTTAGCCTTTATTGTGTCTATATAACCTGTTTTACACAGATTATATAGAAAAGCAAATATATATATATATATATATATATATATATATATATATATGGATATATGGATTCATCTTTGGGTTTTTTTTTTATTTTTTTTAAATGTATCAGCAGTGTCTAACCGTGACCCCCCATACATTTGTGCTCTACATTTCCCAGTTGAGCTGGCTGTGTATCACACAAAAATGTAGTTTGCAAAAATGTGCTACCCCTTAGCCTGCACTTAATGCTTATCGAGACTAGAGCCGAGAAGTAGGACATTTTATGAACCAACACCATGTTTTACTTTATGTTGCACATTGATGATCATAATACTGAGTGCTCTACTAAACTTTGTGTGATGGCTGCACAACTATCCTATTTATTAGCCCTTGTAGATATAAAGATAAATGTTGGTTTTCCCAGCCATATTCCTGGCCGCACTACAGTGGGTATACGTCTTCCACCCTCTAACTTGGACAGCGACACCTTCTAAGTAAAGAATAAAAGGAACTCCCCTATGTTTCCATATTGTCATAGTACCTTCATTATTAGCCAATGTTCGTATATGGTTCTGCAGCTGGGAAGTCTTAATTATTGATACTCTCCGATTTATAGCTCATTGATGACATGAAGTCCTGTTACTTGGGGAATAAATGAATTGTCAAATAGTATGCACACTGCTTACAGGGTAGGATGTTATTTATATGTCACCATATATTCAGAACATTTTTGATGCAGTTACAATGTCTATGTGTATTATCTTATCTTGTCAGGCTTATATGAATCCCATAGCAATGGCTCGTGCCAGAGGACCCTCCTCCTCTGGCGGTCCGACGATACAGGATTATCTGAGTAGACCCAGGCCAACTTGGTGAGTGTCAGTTTGTTTTTGTTTGGTTAGTTATTTTTGTTTCTCTCCAAGTTACGATACATTATAGTTGAAGTATTTCACAAGTCTAAAACTGCATTTTCAAAAACAGCGGTTGTTTGCTTTTATTTTTCTTTGTGCTTTACTAATGAGTAGTATCTGATTTCAAAGGCACTTTATAAAAGTTCTGCACTCTTATGTCTGTACTTTTATAGTTAATGGATGAAGCACCCCCAGCTGTCAGCCAGCCAGAGAAGTTTACTTCCGCTAGCTCCCCTAAGCTTAGCAAGTAACGCGCATGTACCTTCTTCTCACACCAGCATTGCGTGCCCATGGCGGCAAGCTTCAGAGGTTTCTCAAAGAGAATAGGCTATGTTCCAGTAAAGAGACTTCCAGGTTAAATGGGGAGGGCTTGCAAAGGTTTGTTAAAAGAGCTTTTGCAAGCTTTTTTAAGATACAGCGCCAGTGAATACATGCATGCATTCATTGAGGGTATATCAGTTTAATAGCAATTTGTATTTTATTTATTTTTTAAATTCTATTTGGGCAGTGGAGTAAGTAATGACATTATATTGAACTTCTGTCTGAACCTTATCTGGACAGGTTGGGAGGCACATGAGTAGTGCTGTCTGTCAGAATGTATAAATTACATACTGGCAGGAGTAAGCCAGTCTAAAAGTTCTGCTTCTGTTTGGGAAAAATTGATTTTCCACTGGAACCTAAAACTGCCCTACAAATCATTAAAGAGAGAGACATTCTTAAAGTTCTTGTGTTCTAAGAAAATAAAAAAAAATGTACTAATAAATTGGAAAAAATGATTGCTGTATGGGATTTTAAAGCATAATTGTCAATTCTGGAGAAGTGACAGTTGTTACTCATTCCCTCACCCCAGTAAAAACAATATTACAGCATCTATTGGCAATTAAGCAGCAGAGGTTAAAAGAACACAGTCAGTCGCCCCATATTGCCCTGGCTGCACTGAGTTTAATCTCGGCAGTGACAGGAGTTCCTCTTTATACAGAAAGCAATGTATATAAAATCAACCAAATTCCTTTTTATAATAGCTTTTATTTGCTTAATTCACACACATGGTCTTATTATAATTTTACCCACCTACCACCTGGTTAAATACAATGAAATCCGTACAAGTGACCACATTGCTTTTTCAGCCATTTTTTACTTTTGTTATCAGAATAACATATTTTAAACATTTAGATGTTTTGTTTTGAACATACCTGATGCATGTATTCCATCATTGCGATGGATGGTAAAACATTGTAGCATACGTTTTGAAAGTATATTTCCAGGTAATGGCGACGCAGTCATCTATCTGAATCTAGCATGTTGCATTTGGATTTGTCGGCATGAATGTTCTGTAGTATATTACAAATGCTGTCTGGTAAATCTGGCCACGAGCCCATATTCCAAAAAAAAAACAAAAAACTGTTTAATTTAGAAAACTTAGCAGAGAGGATATGTGCAGTTTTTTTTTTGTTTTTTCTCTATATATTCTTTATAAGTAATGCCTTGTTTCCTATTTCTTTTATAGGGAAGAAGTGAAAGAGCAACTGGAAAAGAAAAAGAAAGGCTCCCGAGCTCTCGCAGAATTTGAAGAAAAAATGAATGAGGTTCATAGTTTATTATTATTGGCATGAGTAGTGTATTTTCATAGGGGTCAATGGCAGTCAGTAATACCAGCTGGTGTGCATTTTCTTTTATATAAGCCTAGCCGTGCAATACTTGGATAAATTGATTCTGTTTAGGTATTGTGGACCTCTTCTTTTGACCTTTTTTTGTTTTTCTGAACAATTTTTTGTGTTAACTGAAAGTAAACACACATTCTGTATTTTTAGTTTGATACAATGTTTGCATTGTGAGGGTGGAGCTTGATCACAGAGCCGAGAGGTCTTACTTACAGAGGTAAAGATCTCCCTACTCTCGCATGCTCTTGCTGAGATTCTGCCAGCGCTTGCCTCATATCCAGTCAATCGATGCCATTTTTATATGTTGCACCAGCAAAGAAGCAATGCTGCAGGACTGGGGCATACTCCTCTCCTCAGCTCTGGAACAAGACCATCTATGTGGAGTGGAGCCTCCACAGGCAACCTCCGTCCGAACTACACAGATGGGACCAAGATCCCAAAAACCTCAGAAGAGAAGACCAATATGCAGGGACTTGAGCAAAGATCGAGCAGGAGACTGTAGACTCCCAAGAAGAACACTGTTATATTTTTATTGTTTACTCTTTTCCCCGTTTTCTTTCTTAATTATCTCTCATCGTATATAGCAGGTTAACCATTAATGCTTGTGGCTGTATATATCATTAACCCTGGACTATCATATATGGCAGGAAACCATTGCCAACCCTCACCGACATTGTGTCTCCACCCTCTGCATGAAGACACTGAATTTTACTCATAGGGATGCATTGATTCAATGCATCTCTGTGAGGAGATGCTGATTGGCCAGGGCTGTGTTTGGCTTGTGCTGGCTCTGCGCCTGATCTGCTTCCTTGACAAGCTCAGCCAATCCAATGCTTCTCTATGGGAACGCATTGTGATTGGTCTGATCACCACTTCTAATAATGTCCGCCAACTAGGCAGATCGGGGGCAGAGCCAGCAACTGCAAACTGAAATAAAGGTAAGATCTTACTTTATTTAGAGGGGCAGGGGGGCTAGATAGTGTTTTTAACACTATAGGGTCAGGAATACATGTTTGTGTTCCTGACCCTATAGTGTTCTTTTAAGCAGCATTATGATGGTTCACTATAGCATGTTACATTAAACTATCCAATATGATCCTAATGTTCCATATTTGTTTTCTAATTTATCTAAAGCTCCAGATTATATTAGACTGCTGACTGGGCGTGGGTATAATTCTAGACATACAACTGTAATCCTGATTAATATTCTCTATACACTGTGATATATGGTTTCATTATTACATGTATCATCCTGCATGAAAAAGTTTACATTATGAAAACCCCTTGTTTATTTATTTTTCTTTGATTGTGAAGACTTGTTCTCGGTTGATAGAAATAACTCTTAATAAACAGTTTCTTCTGCTTCTCAGAGTTGGAGAAAAGAGCTGGAAAAACACAGAGAAAAGATGATTTCTGGTAATGAGAATCCTTCTAAAAAGAAAGAGGTAAATCATGGTGGTTTGTTACTTATAGCTTGAAATTTGAAACAATCACTATAAAATAATTGGGTTACTGGCTAAAGTGAAAATTCAAAGTGAATTACAATTTTGAGGTCAGAGTAGAAAAGGCATAGTTGACCTAGAGAAACCTTCCAGTTTGGCTGGTTTTACCTTAAATTTGAAATTCACTTTGAATCCACCTTAAATCCTCACTGTAGTGAATAACCTTGTAACAGAACATCTTGGGGGAATGGCAAAATGTGAGATTAAATGCTTGAGAAGATTTCGGTCGGAGTGTTTTGACTTTTATGACACATATAGATACGAAACTGAAAAATACATCATGCACAAAAAAAAACATAAATCCCCAGTGCTCTGCGTATACATTTTGGTGCAAAGAGGTTTTCTGTCACCTTGCATATACTTGCTTATCATTGCTAAATAGATATTTGCAAGCCCCAATTTTTTTTCACTGCATTGCAGTTCGGTTTGTGCTGGGGAAATGACCAATCATAGTCTTCTGATTAAGACGAATGCTTCTGAGCACGTGTGTTGGTGGGAGGGGGCGTGGAGGAGGCTGGGCCCGGGGGTAGTAAGTGATATCTCACATAAATGGACACTTTTATAAAGTGCAAAGAAAATTGAATACCCCAGTGTAAAGCACTTCAGCAAGCTGTGTGTGGCATGTTCATTTAAATAACGCTTTTATTTCACAAGTTTTGTTTGCCTATAACTCAGGGCTGTCCAACCTGTGGCCCCCCAGATGTTGCTGAACTACAACTCCCATGATTCCCTGGCTATCTGTTTCATTGAAAGAATCATGGGAGTTGTAGTTCAGCAACATCTGGGGGGCCGCAGGTTGGACAATAACTGCTCAATATATAACTGTAGTTTCAAAATGTTACTAAAAATGCAGCTTTTTTTTCCTTAATCTTGTTTAGTAGTTTTTCTTTTCTTTAGTTATTTGTTCTTTGACAACGTTTTATTCCAACCCCCCACAGAAAAAGAAAAAAGAGAAGAAAAAATCTGGTGGGGTGAGAACGGTTTTTAATCATAATTAATGATATTGTACAGATGAACTTTTTTAATTCCTGCAGATATTTAAGTATTGGATATGTAATAATACAGATTCCTGATTTATTCAGAGTAAGCATACAAACCACACTGCTATTGGTAACTTTAATCTACCCTTTATGTGCGGGTCTATCCCCAGGAAGTTCTCTCTTAAACACGTCTAGTACATTTAAAGATTTGCAGCTCATTCCTAAAGAAAATAAACAATTGAGATAGATGTGTGTGTATATAAATTAGGCATGTTACATTCCGTATAACGAATACTATCATACATACTTCAGGGTTATGTTGGTATCACTAAATTATAGCATAGTTCAAAAACTTCAAAACATTTTAGTGGCGGAATTGTAATTCTGTTTAAAATGTGCGTCTCACAAGTTTTACTTTCTGTTGTCTGTGGTCAAGTTTTCTTCATCATCTTCCCCTTCTTCATCGAGTTCTGATTCTTCCTGCAGCTCAGATGAATCTGACAATGAGGTGAGATCCATTTACTTGATGTAATAAACATAATCGATAATAGATTGTCCCTCTGTATATTTTATTTAATTTAAAAATGCATTCGGAGTAATTCTTGTGTTTACATTGGGCTTTTGTAGAGCAAGAAAAAACAAGCTAAAAGAAAGAAGAAGAAAAAATATTCCTCCCGCAAGACTTCTGATAGTAGTTCAGACATGGATTCAGACAGCAAGGTACACTTTGTCAGTCAGTTTTTAACAATTGTTCATGGTCATACTATGTGGACACCTACTAACCATTGACTTCATCAGTTTGAGTTTCACCTTTTGCTAACCAGCGTGTGATATACAGCACATAGTTCTGAAATCTCCACAGACAAACATTGGCTGTGAATTAGGTTATACTAGATGTTTTTAAACATGACACTATCATAGAATGCCGTCTTTGCCCTGAGTCAGTTTGTGAAATTAGTGTCCTTCTGTATCAATCTGCCTCAGTTTACTAGAAGTGTTATTGCCATGAAATGGAAGTATCTAGAAGCAACAACAGCCCAACCACGGAATAGTACACCTCCCATACACAAAGAGCAAGGGCACCAGGTGTTGAAGCCTGTATAAATCGTGTTTCATCTGTTGCATCACTGCAGAATCCCAAACTGCCTCTGAAAGCAACGTCAGGACAAGAACTGTGTCAGGAGCTTCATGAAATGGGTTTCCATGGCCAAGCAGCTTTTCTATAGGTGTGATAGGTGTCCACATGCACTTGGATATATAGAGTGTGTGTGCACTTATGTAATGAAATATTGAAAAAGGTTTCAGTAGATTTTCTTTGGTGTTTTTTTTTTTTCTTCCCTGTTTTCTTTTTTAAAAGTTTCTTGTGTATATTTTGTCAGTAACTCAAGAATTTTTTTTTTTAAACTAGAGATCTGTAAAATACGGCAACTAGTAGATATCCCTTCATATGCTATTATTAGCCCTTATCAGCTTGACAAAGGCCCAAAGGGGTCGAAACGTTGCATTTTGGTTCTTGGGTACACTAAAATTTCCTATTCTTTGGAACATTTTGGGGTGCCTGGATTACTTTTCTACTTACATGTTATATCTGGTCTCTTTGGTACTGGGACTGATCCAAGTGCACCCTAGGATTCCAGGGTGAAGGGCTGAGTGCAGTTCCACAACTTGTCTATGGATTATTAGCCCTTCTGTCATATCTGATGGATAAAAGAGTGATCTCTCTTTAGCCCAAAGCCTGTTAGTGTTTTTTTTTTTGTTTTTTGTTGTTTTTAGAAAAAGGTTTTATTATTATTCCTGGTAATATTACAGACGCACACCTAATGGGTTATTCATTATACTCTGAATAGTAGCTTATCAAAATCTGTTTTTTTTTCTCTTCAAATTCAGTTGTAATTTCTTAAATGTTTTCCATACAGATTTTAATGTTATATTTTTTTTTGATTTTTTTTTTGGGAATAACCCTGCTAAAGGTCAAAGAGAATGTAATTGTCAATAGGTTTGCAAAGTTAGTGCTATTCATTTCATATTTCCTATTTTCAGTTATAGACTATTGCAGTTATGAATTCACAACAACCACATGCTCCCCTGTTTACATGTTGTGTGCGATTTTCATATGTAATTGATATATTGTGGTTTCTGTAGGACAGCCTGAAAAAGAAGAAATCGAAAGATGATCCGGACCGAGACAAGGTGATAATGATCTTAAATAATATGTCTGTATCTTAATGGTTTGCTTGGAATTTAATTTCTGAACCCTTTCTGCTATGACTGTGTGGCTTTTCATTCGGTTAATAGTATTTTAATATAATCTTTTCAATAACCTTCAGAAAATGGTGGTGGGTGTGCAGTAGGGCTCTTGTTGAGACTGACCCTGACATCCATAACTAAATGATATGTAGTATAGGTAAGTAATATTCAATGGGGAATATTGACTTAGCCAGTATATTGAGTAAATGCTATTGTGAGGTTTGCTAAATATTTAATGAAGAAATCTACACAGCAGTAATAATTTATCTATATTGGTGAATTGTGTGCCCACATCTTGGCTTCCTTTCCGTTATCATTCAAACTTTTCGGCTATTGGATATTGCGGTGGAGGAGAAATAAAAACAGAAAATGTAATTTGCTTTGTGTACGCTGGGTTTATTCACCATCTTATGATAAAGATTTAGCAAACATTTTAAAGAGCGCATGACCTGAAAAGGTTAACATAAGTCATAAATGATTTTCAGTTATTTTTGCAGTGCTGTAAAAGACCCGCTTTAATCTTCTAGATGGTGGTTTTAACACTGTAGGGTCATGTTTGTGTTCCTGACCCTATACTCTAATGGTAGTATAGGTACTTGATTAATTAGGTTTTGTTTTTTTACATGGACTTAAATGCTTTATAAACGTACACCTGCCACAAGTATTTTAGTTAATCTTACTTAATGCAGAGGAAATAAACTTGTTAGTCATATGACCCAGTCTTTGTGTACAGGGCAGAAAACGGAAGAGGACTGAAGAAGATCATAAACATTCATCATCAGAATATTGTTCCAGATCAGAATCTGATGAAGAGGTCAGTCTAAATATATTATATATATTATAATCTTGTTTTGCAACTATTAATACAAGTATTTTATTTATTTTTAAAGGAGCTTTTTATTAATAAAAGGAGCTTTTATAAAAATGATTATTGTAATTATTTTTAGCATTAAATAATGTGTTCCTTGTTAATTCCCTGGCAATAACAGTAATTTTGGTGCACAAAAAGAAGATTCTGCTGTTTGTGAAAGAGGTAGAAAGGCGGAAGAAAAGAGAGACTAATTAACCCGCTCAACATAGCATTGTTTTCTCTTTTTCCCTTCTTTGGAATTTGATTGACCACTCAGTCGGTTAATTGTCATGTTAGCATTGTGGAAGATAAAAATGTTGACTTAGAAAGCAGTTTATTTTCAGAATGAAACTTAGAATTTATTTACAAAAAAAGGTAAAATCCTAAAATAGTCTTTTCATTAGCATTTACCTTCTGTCACTGTACTTAATGAAGTATTACTTTAAAATGCACAAAAATATTGCAAGTGTAGATGGCATGAAGAAATAGACAAAAGATATACAATCTGCCTCAATACGTGTTGAAATCGTGTGTAGCCAGCCCCAAGGAGCACGGAAAATGTGCGCAATGTCACTGAGACCAAGTATATGACAAACATGATAACCAGTGCGACAATCTCAGATTTCAGTGCACACCAGCTTATGGTTGCAACTCTCCAGCATGCATTGTGATTGTCTGTGTGTGGGGCTTCAGAGGCAGGATATACTCCACTTTGGACACGTGGAGCAGGTCTGCTTTAATTTTCATTTAAAAAGGAAACGAACCAGTGGTAGTTCACATTAGAATGATAACATACCAGTGTAAATCAAAGTATGATATTTCCAGAGGGCGTGTGAAAGTGAACACTGAGGAAACCATGGTTAGAGGGCAGAAGTCTTCCCAGAGGTCTGGTAATTAAATTGCTTGTCCGAGAACAAGCAATTCCTATTTTCACCACTAAGTGGCACTTTGTTTTCTCTGACTTTAATGCAGATAGTTATAATGGGCTCTGAGAAAGTTCATGGATCATTCAGAAAATTGATAGAGATATCTGTCTCTCAGGGTCTCCATCTTGTTAATTGTGGTTATTATATTTAAAGAGGCTCTGTCAGCCTATACTTACCATACTTAAATCTACTCTACCTTACTCATGGTTTCTTCCTGTTTTCAATCTACTCCTCCTAAAATGTGCAAAGCAGTAATTGTGTTGCTTTGAGTATTGTTTTTTGTCTCTGCTTGACAACAGGTGGAGCTAACGGATAAGGCACTGTGAGACCATATCTATTGTGGTTCCTGTAGGATCCTGCATAGACCTCAGTGCTGCACTCTCATGCATGTGCAAGACTATAGCACTGACATGAGCTCATGGTAGATGAAGCAACAGGAGATCTTGACAAAGGAAGTGGCACTTGCCTTAAGCTCCACTCATTGTCAATATTCGTCAAGTTGAGTTAAATTACATAAGACAAAGTACTACTACTTTGTCTTACATATTTTACAAGAAAAACAAAACTTAAAGGAATAAAATAACAGATTCAGAGAGAGGAAGAGGAAACAACTGGAAAAATGTAAGTTTGTTTATGAAGAAATTCACCAGGGAATCACAGAATGTAGGCTAAAGTAGCTGAGCTGAAAACATGACTTAAAAACTCTGTCCATTTTGACTATTAAGGCCTAAAACATGCAGTTCTCTGTCAACACTTGCTAACAGTTCATGGTTTATTAAGTGACAAGTAAAAAGAAAAAGTATTAAAATTATTATGGAGGGAGAGCCACCTCACAGACTAGGTAAAAGGCGGGGACACAGCTGACCCGGCCTCCCCTTCCCGTCGTCCTCCCTCCTTGGCCTCCCCGGCCCTTCCCCTCCTCCTGCCCACCCGGAGCTGGAATGTGACCCCCTCCTCCCCTATTCCTCTACTGCTCTTCCACTATCTCTGTCTACTCTGTCTCTTTCTCTCTACCTTTAGGCCCTAGCCTTTTCAGAGGACCTTATATCACACACAGCAACCATAAGCGCAGACTGCGTCAGGACGCTAACAGTAGCCTTATCCCCCTAATGTGAAGGACATCTCAGCAGAGGGTGGGTGGTGGGACAGGGGCGAGAGCCGGAAGAACAGATAGCGAGGGAGGGAATGACACAAACGCTGTCAAAATCATAGACCGCATTGCCCCCGTTAGTGGCCGGACCCACCGCCTGTGACCAGGACCTGAGTCATTAGCCCTTCCTAAGTGAGGAGCATATTAGGCTAACTTGCACCCGGCTCTGACCTACAATTAAATTAGCCTCACACCACTCTGAGCAGTCAGCCTCAGCAACCTAGGCTAGACTGTCGGATCGATGCTGAACCCTTCTTATTAAGCAATATTATTTGAATGTCAATGTACTGTAAAAACTGTGCCTTTGTTATATGCCATGTATATACCATTTCTTGTTCTTATTCCTTGCTTGTGTTGTCATGGCAACACAAACCTCTGTACCATCTTAAGCACAGAGAAATAAAGAATTTAAAAAAAATAAAAATTGTGATATGGGTTCCATACTGAGATGGTGCCCTTAGAGGGAGGTTAGGGAGCTGGGATTTTTTTTTTTATTAAGCTACCCTATCTTGAATTTTTGTTGCATAGCTTGTCTACCATCTCTGAATGTAGGGCTTGTAAGACTATGAATACGTTTACTAACCTATGTTTGAAAAAAAGGCCTAAATGATTGTTTTAATATATATATTCAAGGCTATAATTATCATCTATGTGGGTTATCCAATGTGAAATGTCTTCAAACTTGTTTTTTTTTTTTTTAACAACCTAGATAACTATGTAACTATATAAAGTTTATTATTTTCTCTAAATGCCATGTCCCTGTCCAAAAGTAAATTTGGAATTCAATACGCACTCATGGCATGTATGTCGAATGGAACCTTTTGCTCCTCGGGGAAAGATTGACGCTGGTTGAGGACATTCGATATGTCTCGTAGATGGCACTGTTCTGCTGAGATATTTTGTTTGTCTTCAGAGGCTATTGGCTGGGCACTTGTGTTTAGTTCCCCCAAAGAGGTCTTATTTATTTATTTCCCCTTCTTCTTTGTAAGTGTGTTTAATATGTTATTGCAAGGCAATGGTTTGTTCATCTTGTTCCCCACCCAGATTTCAGCTAGGCTATTATAGCCTAATCACTAGGATTTCCCTTTACTTTAGTATATAACCCTGATGTTGTCTTTGGGGCAAATGATACGACCTCGTATCTATGTGATACAACACGAAAGAGCTGAGAGGATATAAGATTGTGTTCTTTTTGCAACACAAACATTCTCCTCCCAGGATCTGGCCACATAAGCCGGCTACTAGTTGTGTTCTGTAACGAAACGGAAGCCTCTGCCGCTCAGCTCCCACCTGGGGAGTTTTCGGGCTCTCACCTCCCCGGCCAGCAGCCTGTGCTGACCGCATCGATGTTCTTTACACCTATGCCTAGAGGAGCCTGTCCATTCGGTCTGCCGGGACAAGAAGAACTGGGGAACCTTGGAGGTACAGGGGTTATAAGGGAAGCAGCAGGCGGATCTCAATTGAATATTTAAATTTTGGGTGGAGCTTCTTGTCCACTGGAGAAGATACAACCCACTTGCTACAGTACTGCCACTATACTAAGGAAAAAGGAATTTCCTGTAAGTACAATTACTGTTTTTTTAATGTTTACATTCTTAGCTTTAAGGGACACCCCAAGCAACATAAATATGTGCCGATGAGCTCTTCTGCATTCTGGGTATTATATGCAAATTCAGGAGAAAAGGAGCAGTCTACTCTAGTTTACAGTGCTCATAACAAGCGTGTTGGCATATCAGATAAGTCAGTTTGTTTGTTCTCTCCCAAAAGATTACGACAATTCATTAAATGCATTTGTTTGACATATTTAGAGCACATTAGTTTTAATTTTGGAAGATAAGTAGCTTTAATTAGTGAGATAACAAACCACTCGAATCAAATAAAAATTCTGCAAAGAGTCAGGATATCCGAACTCTAGATGTCTGAATAACGTTCTTTCTTTTTTTTTTTTTTTTTTACTTTCATTTTTCAGGTTCACAGTAAAAAGAAAAAATGCACAGAAGAAAAAGCTGTAAGTATTTTACTTAAAAGGGGAACTGTGAAATGTGGGAGTTTAACCCCTTAAAGACACATGACATGTATGACATGTCATGATTCCCTTTTATTCCAGAAGTTTGGTCCTTAAGGGGTTAACACACAGTTAGATTGCTGCTAGGTTTGTCTGCCACAATAAACATTACTTGAACCCTCGTTATGCTCAGTAAGGGCTATTGTTTGTATTTGATGCTTTGGAAAGAATATTCAAGTGCACGTGCCCTCCTATAGCATCATGGGACAAAAGCTCAGAATTGCTGCAAAGGTAAGTATGTTTTTATAGTTCTGCTACACTGCTCACTCAAGTAAGTGCTTTTAGCAGTGTTTACTGGAATGTGCGAATGTGGAACTATTGTGATTAACAATTTACCGTTCCTGTTTTAAAGTAAGGGTGTTTTTTTTTTTTCGTTTTTTTTTTTACATATTGTACTAGCCATACTGTGTGTATATGTATGTATGTGTTCATGGCATATGATATTGTTATATTACAACTCTGTACTATTTAGCAATGAGAGAGAAATATTCTGATTGGATCGTTAATTGGAATGTGTCATCCTTGTTGACATTTTGATTAAATAGTTACTTTGACCACTATGACAACTCCTGCTTTTAGAAGTGGTTGTGCCGGTGGGAGTCTGCAGCTTTTTTGCTTGATATTTGCACTGTTGTGCCGATACCTGGTTATAACATCGGAACACGTGACTTAGGCAGCTCAGAAGTCTGTTACGGGCTGCCTAATATCAATTCTATGCAAAAATACATCTGTCAATGCTGTCGCTGTAAACTAATCTCCTTGCAAATCAGCTCTGGGAGAGTCCCTGCGCAAGGGGATGCTTGATCCACCCTCATTCCCTTAATTGTGCCCTCCCTGCAGTCCCCACCTTTCTATAGTACTTTATTTTTTTCCATTGCACCTATCCTCGATCATAGGAAGAATAGTTAATCAATTCCATCACTCTGTTAAATAATGCTCCTTCCCAATGGTGTTTGCATTTTCTTCTACCAGTATTGCTGGTAATATTATATAATTTACAAAGAGTATTTACATCTTGTTACCAGTGGGGCTAAGCATTATTATACTGGAATATGTGTTCAGAAGAACACCTCCTCTAGGACCTGACTACTGTGACTAAAACCAGTTCTAATATTCTATTGCCATCAGTTGTGCAGGATCTGTGTTGTGGTTTGTCTGCAGCTGCCCTGCTTGGCCGACAGGTTCCCTTTACATCTGACACCCGAGGGTCTTGCTCAATGTTTGCTCTGTTGGTTTTGTAGAATGAATTGCTGTAACATGCCGAGTATTTTTTTTTACATCCTGTTTTTTCTTTTCTAATAGGATAAAGTAAAAAAGAAAAAGAAGCACAAGAAACATAACAAGAAGAAGAAAAAAAAGGGTATTAACCCAAGCTCGGATTCTGGATAACACAATAATCGAACATACCAGGAGAGTGATGCAAAATGTTTATATACCCCACTAGGCACTAAAATTGTTAAAAGCTCAGACTGTGAAATGGGCTGGCATGCATTTTTTGTTAATGTTGTTTGGGATTTTATAGCGAACACTTGATTAACGTGCATATTATGGACTTTTTTAATTTAATTTGATTTTAAGGATCCACAAGGAATGTAGGTGATAGTTCACTACAAGTAGGTATATGCATAATCCATACACAGTGCTGGCAAACGCATAGATTCAAAATATTTATGAGAATCACTTTTTCTTCTGACAAGATGCTCAAAAATGGAAAAGAAATAGATTTGCATGCAGCCACCTGTCCTCAGATGCCCCAGTGCACAATATATCGGTCATTTGTGGACGAGGATACTGCGTTGGCATCCATTTCTGGTGGCTATCTTTATATTGTTGTATTGCCAAAAATCATGGCACCAGAAATGAACTGATTGGTGAGTTATTGCATTTAATTGTATACGTGTCTTAGCTGTTAGATTAACCAAACTCTTCATTACGTTACACTGCACCTGTCACATAAAGTAGAGAAACATTGTACATAACCACATTGCATCTACATATTGTGTTAGTCTAACTTAAGCAGTTGTGTGAAATAGACATTATCCTGGGATTTGCTTAGGTTAATACCAATATGCTGTTCCCATAAATTTAAGGAATAAAAACACTGCCAAAGCCATGAACCAGAGAGCATGGGTGAAGTACAAAAGTTATGAAAAGTACCATAGACCGGTATCGGTCACACAATTCCATCCATGCATTGTGTAAGCCAATCTCCTAAACAAAGCTTGAAGAAAAGGACCATTTCTGACCTGTTTTTGGCCTAATTTCCCTGAAGCTGCACGCCTCATCCTGCTGTGGGTAATGGATCCATTGAATGGCATCACATACCTTGTGCAATGCAGCATTTAACACTGTAAAAGAATGCAGAGATAAATGAGCTATATTTGGTGGAGGAAAGCAGAGTTCAGGTGAAGATGTCTATCAAACTGCCGGCAATTTTGCCAGTTTACTGTATAATAATAATTTAATTTGTGCTTACAGCTGATCACCTCCTCCAAGCTTTATGTGAGACAACTTTTGCTCTAATCTAAAATATAATATGCTCCAATAGTAAAAAGAATTGTTGCATAAATATTCAAACTTGTAAACCAAATGTTAAATGTGGTCAAGTCACTTGATATTGACTTTCACAGTTGAAGGTGGTTTATTTAATATTACTGCAACTTTACTGTGCATTTATTTACTTGAGGGTAGGTCTTAGACACATCCATTTGTTTTGAAATGCAATTGGGAAACCTATTGTCACTGAAACATAATTAGCAGATGCAATAATATGCTTTTTGTTTGTTTACTCTTTTAGGGAGGGTAAGTTATAAATTCTGCTGAAGTGAAGGTACTGGTTTTACGGTATGAAGTCCAACATAATCTAATAGTAGGGTATTTCTGGTCTGTGGAGTGTGTGGGGAGACTGCAACCACTATATCTGTTAATAATATCATTGGTCTCTGATTCTTGTGCTGTTTTCTTCTGCAGGAGATAGACAAAATGTAGATTCCCAACAGTACTAGAACTACAACTTCCATGATGCTTTGCTTGCTCCAATTCTGGCAAATCCTTGGATGTCTGTTTCATGTTGTAAGGGTTTGGGGTTTTTTTTGTTTGGGAGGGGGGTGGAGGACCATCTAGCTCTTGCAGAAGTAAAGTTGCATCATGCGGTCTCTGGTCATTTTAGTTTTACTTCTGATGTCACTCATTCTGTGTAGGATTGAATGTTTAGTGTTCAATGTGCATTGTGTAATCTATGTACAGAGTAAACCAGTATTCATATTTTTAGGTGCTTATTCATAAGACTATTCTAGCTTCGATGTATAGCAAGTGAAAAGGCTAGTATGTAAAAAGCAGTTTTTTTTGTTTTTTTTTTCCCTTCTGTTTTTTTTTTAATATGTAAATAAATTGTATATTAAACAGCTTCATATTGAAGCTGACCTACTTCGATATGTTTCGTTACCAGGCCCACCACTCACAAAAGGTGTCCTGTTTTTATGAAAGTGATTTATGACTATAAATAAAAATTGTCTAACTTGTTGGTTTGTTGTGTTTTTGTGTATACACCTTTATGTTATTTTCGATTTAGTTTTAGTCATAGTCTTGACTAAAAAGCTATTTCAGCTTTAGTTGTATTTTAGTAATCTGAATTGTTTTAGTTGACTAAATCCCCAGTAGATTTTACATGACTTAAATCTAATGCGTTTAGTTAAAGCCTCTGTCTTTTTGCCCCTTCCACAGTCCTTCTGTGTTTTTTCCTTCCAGCGCCTCTACAGTGAGGGAGAAAAAGTATTTGAGTCCCTGCTGATTTTGAACGTTTGCCCACTGACAAAGAAATGATCAGTCTATAATTTTAATGGTAGGTGTATTTTAACAGTGAGAGACAGAATAACAAAAAAAAAATCCAGAAAAACACAGGTCAAAAAAGTTTTACTGATTGATATGCAAATCAATATATAATATATATTTGACCCCTTCGACTTAGTTCTTGGTGGCAAAACTCTTTTTGGCAATCAGAGGTCAGACGTTTCTTGTAGTTAGCCACTAGGTTTGCACACATCTCAGGAGGTATTTTGTCCCACTCCTTGCAGATCCTCTCCAAGTCATTAGGGGTTTCGAGGCTGACGTTGGCAACTCAAACCTTCAGCTCACTCTACAGATTTTTTACAGATTAAGGCCACTCCAGGACCTTCATGTGCTGCTTCTTGAGCCACTCCTTGTTGCGCTGGCTGTGTGTTTGGGTCATTGTCATGCTGGAATACCCATCCACGACCCATTTTCAATGCACCGGCTGAGGGAAGGAGGATCTCACCCAAGATTTGACGGTACATGGCACCGTCCATCATCCCTTTGATGCAGTGCAGATGCCCTGTCCCTTTACCAGAAAGACACCCCCAAAGCATAATGTTTCCACCTCCATGTTTGACGGTGGGGATGGTGTTCTTGGGGTCATAGGCAGCATTCATCCTCCTCCAAACACGGCGAGTTGAGTTGATGCCAAAGAACCTGATTTTGGTCTCATCTGACCACAACACTTTCACCCAGTTCTCCTCTGAATCATTCAGATGTCCATTGGCAAACTTTAGACGGGACTGCACATGTGCTTTCTTGAGCAGGGGGACCTTGCGGGCGCTGCAGGATTTCAGTCCTTCACGGCGTAGTGTGTTACCAATTGTTTTCTTGGTGACTATGGTCCCAGCTGCCTTGAGATCATTAACAATATACTCCCGTGTAGTTCTGGGCTTATTCCTCACCGTTCTCATGATCATTGAAACTCCACGAGGTGAGATCTTGCATGGAGCACCGGACCGAGGGAGACTGACACTTTGTGTTTCTTCCATTTGGGAATAATTGCATCGAATGTTGTCACCTTCTTATCAAGCTGCTTGGTGATGGTCTTGTAGCTCATTCCAGCCTTGTGTAGGTCTACAATCTTGTCCCTGACATCCTTGGACAGCTCTTTGGTCTTGGCCATGATGGAGATTTTGGAATCTGATTGCGTCTGTGAACAGTTGTCTTTTATACAGGTAACGAGCTGAGATTAGGAGCACTCCCCTTAAACAGTGCTCCTAATCTCAGCTCGTTACCAGTAAAAAAGACACCTAGGAACCAGAAAGCTTGCTGATAGGGGATCAAATACTTATTTCACTCATTGACATGCAAATCAATTTTGTTTACTTTTTTGTCATGTGTATTTCTGGATTATTATTTTTTTGTTCTTTTTCTCACTGTTAAAATACACCTACCATTAACATTTTTGACTGATCATTACTTTGTCATTGGGCAAACGTTCAAAATCAGCAGGGGATCAAATTTTTTCCCCCCACACTGTAGGTGTCTCTCCTCTTTTGCCCCTTCCACAGCCTTTCTGTGCAATGTTAATTTTGGCAAACTATGACTAAAACTAGATTTCAATTTAGTTTTAGTAATTCTTTTGGCTAAAATGCCATTTTAGTTTTGGTTATCTGAATTGTTTTTAGTTTTAGTCGACTAAATTCCAAAACTTTAATCGACAAAAATAACACTGCTTTATGATAATATAAACTCATCAAACAGGGAATAAATATTCAGAGTATATATTTATTTTACAGAGTAAGACCTGGTCCACTCATCAAAGTAAAAACCATGTAATGGCACATATTAAAAGGAGTTTAAAGTAGTGTGTTATGATTTGAAGAGAGAAGAGGAGGGGGTGGTGGGGTGATACTGGTAAATGTATCTTTTAGTTTAAAGAAATGCTCCAAGCACCATAACTACTACAGCACACTGTAGTGTTGTTTAGTAGCAGGATGCCACCAGGGTTTCTGCTTTTGATGACCATTTTTAAAAATCAGGTGCTTCATTTGGAATAACCTTTAAAGGGCCCCAAGACTTGAGAGAGTCGATTTATTACTAATAAATCAAGGAAACTGATTGTTGGATGATTGGTCTTTAGGCCTCATTTAGTGGCAGGTTATACTTTATCATTTTAAAGCCTTGAAGTAATCTAGCGGGGGTCAGAATTTAAGGATCTGATTATCAAATTGGAAACTGGTTACAGGACATAAAAAATAAAATAAGCTAAATAACCAACACACAAAATTAGCACTAAAATCATACTACACTTTACTGGAAATGAAGTTCAAATTGACTCCAAATATGGCTTTACTACATATGGATATGATTAATAGAGAGTCTAGACCAGTTATCTTACACATCTAAATCTGTCAAAACGTCAATAGCCAGAAACTGGAAGTCTTCTAGGGTGGATAGCTGGCCCAGGATTCACTCTCAAAGCATTATACATTGTAAAATGGAACGGGCTATTACTAACTTTTCCCCAAAGAAGGGCCATTATTATAGCTGTTGGGATAGATGGATAAAAAAAATTAGACCCTGGAGAGTAAATTTCTTTTTTACACTCACTTTTAGTCGATTAATTCCTTTTCAAATCAGGACACCCCGCCTCGAACCTCTCATCTGTTTTTTTTAATATGGTTCCGAAGCACAAAACAAATGTTTGTCTAGGTTAGTCTGATATCTGTATTTGGCTGTTAAATAAAATTGTAGAAAGATTGGATAATTAAAACTATACATATGAAAGGAAAAGACAGAAACAAAACAAATGATGAATTGATATGGTCAATTCTGATGTTTACAAAGCATGAAACAACAAATACCATGTTCTGATGTCATTAAAAAGAAAAGGGAAAAAAAAAAAAATCTTACTAAACTACTAAAACCAAACTAATAAATCACAGCTCCTGCAGAGTGTTCAGGAAGAATAAAGTTTAATCAGAAGTAATGGTAGTGTGTTTCCAATTTCTGGATATGGAGTAACGGAATGTAAAGGCATGAGAGCAGCTACATCTGGAGCAATGGAAGATAATGCTAGCTTTTGTGTACTAATAGTCTTAATTTTAGTATTGACCGGAGGCGAGTATATTGCATATCTTTCTTTAGTTATTCCATAGCAGGAAAGAAACCTATAGAAAAAAAAAAAAAAACAAGATCCCATCAGAAATAAGTATCTAATCTGTCTTTATGTGACATCACAGGCAAAACATTGAACAGAAAAACAAGAACTTCTGGAATTAACATCCTGCAGAACAAGGATTCCAACCAAATCAGAGCAGCAAACACGTCCCTAGAAGCAAGTTAAACATAAAAGAAAACGTGTGAGGCTTAGTCATGGAAATAAACTTGTGAAATATGAAAAAAAAATGCAATCAAAGACTCTCAAGCATACACGCATCACAGCAGAATCGAAGCAGTACCACTTAAATAACCAACACACAAAATTAGGACTTAAATCATACTAAACTATTAAAACAAATAGCATATTCTTCAATTTCATAACATGAGAGGAGGTCGCTTCCCCCTCCGAACGCAATGCACACCGAATGAGGAGAGAAAGTTCATGATTGAGGAAACAGGCTGTAAATGGATTTATACCCCATTCCACACACCAATCCGTCATGAATTCCATGCGGAGTGGTAATACCGTCTTGTACTAGAGGCCAAGGAGCTGGCAGCTTGTGATAGTTCACTGACCTGCCAGGGATCCCGTAAAGTGCTCTTCTAGGAGCAACGGGTCCATGAGGAGCATCAGGTATGACGGTAGGAGAAGTGGGTATTTGCAAGACAATTCCAGAAAGTCTGGGAACCAATGTTGGCTCTGTCACATAAAAAACAACCAGAGTTATTGTTTCCTGTTGCAGCCGGGCAGGATGAAGGACCCTCACAATCATCGCGAAGGGAGAAATAGCGTAGGCTCTGCGGACCATCTAAGTCTGAAGAAACTGGTTTACCACTTTGCTCTCTGGACTGGTAGCCAGCTGAAGAATTCTCGAATTTAGTAACTGTTCTAAGAGCGAACCTTAGAGGGTTCAGCTTCCAATCGCTGTCCCTCCAATGGTGAGAGAAACTATTTGTCATGAGGTTGGTCTCTCCCGGCAGACATTCCGTCTTCAATGATGTTGCGGGGAAGACAAAAATCTAAATCATCTTTGTGAGGTCCGACAGAATGTGGGAACGCTTGCCATCAAGTTTATTGAGGTAACACACTGTGGAAACATTTCCACCCGGAGCAAGATGCAGCAGCTGAACCTCCCCTTTGCCAGATTGTGAACTATCGCGCCAGAAACTCCAAGTAATTAATGTGCGTAGAGAGTTCCACACCTCTTCGGTAGACCGACCTCAGTTTATCGCATCCCAGCCCAAAAGTATGAAGTCTGGGTGATTGACAAATATGGCCCATCTATTCCAGCCTGCATGCTGTCGAGCCACCACTGCTGTTCCATCATCATCTTGTTCATCACCGGGACCTGTTGGTCATAAGTGGGATTCTTACCGAGGAACTTTGCCTTCAGTCGTGCAGTGGACCTGGGAAGATTGCCTGAACTGAGGAAGACAAAAGTCCCATGACCCATGCGAACAGGCAGAGCATGATGGAGTTGTCATGGAGAACCCTGCAAAACTCCTTGCGAATAGAAGAGATTTCCGAGGTAGGTGTCTCAGAGTACACAACGTTGAACCTAGGAACTGAACCGTCTGTGAGGAAACCAGCGTGGATATGGACTGATTCACTATGAAACCTAGAGATTTCAGTAGATTCACCGTATATTAGGTTTGGTGCCTCAGTCTCATCCTTCAGATAAATTAAGCAGCAAACCATGTAAGCCCGAAGATGGGTGACCACCGGCTTTAGGATCTTTGTGATGCAGCAAGGGGCTGAGCTAAGTCTTAAGGAATCGAAGGAGTACATGGTTGTTGACATGAACTGGGATGGCGAGGTAGGCATGCTTTAAGTCTAGGCGTGTAAACCAGTCACTGTCTTGAAGCAAATCCCTTGAAATCAGAGTAAACAACGTGAGCGACATCCAACAGGTTGATCAGCGGTCGAAGACTATACTCCAGACCAAGAACATATTGCTGAAGAAGCCTCCATCCCCCAAGGTGGGTTAGATGGCACCTAACCTAAATCTTGAAGCTCCTGATAGATAAGGTGGGTGTTAGCGATGCAAAACAGTTTGGGACGGCTGCCACTGCACAATGATGTCCTCAAACTCGATCACATATCCCCACATGGTCTGCAACACCCACATGTCTGAGGATAAGTCTTCCTATTTCTGGAAAAATTTGAAAGGTGGGCAGCAGTCAGAACAATAGAGATTACAGGGACCAAAGGGGAATTACCTGAGAAGAATCTTTGCGTGAGCATGCCCTACAACCTCTGTCCAAACCCCTAGAGTAGTTGAAACCTTTTCCACCACCCACTTCTGGGTAGAAGGATTGTGGTCAGGAAGAGCGGGGGCCTGACGGCCAGAAACAGCTAGCGGGAAAACTCCTCTGATGACATTACCCCTGAAGACTTTTTTTTTCTTTGTGGAAGATTGCACCAGGGGCATGAAAATGTTTATATGTTCATTCAGCTCTTTCAAGGCTTCCCTAAGGAGCTTGCCCTTTTCCCGAGGACCAAGTTTTTTAGCCCCTAATATGCAAATATAGCATAAGTGGAGCTCTAATGTACCTAGATAATGTTATTGAGGATGGATGCACTTGGTGTAGCACTGCACAAAAATTGTGAATAATATATAACACAATAATAGTGCAGATGGTTTGAACAATAATAATAAATAAATCTGGATGAGAAGATTTTCAACTCACAATGAAAGAGAAAATAAGTAACCTGGCTCTGGTGTATAACGTCCTTGGATCCTTATGGGGATCCACAGCCCTCTTCTATATCTCTAAACCCCAAATAGATGAGGGCTGTGGATCTCTCTTAAGGATCCAAGGGCGTTATACACCAGAGCCAGGTTACGTATTGGCTCTTTCATTGTGAGTTGAAAATCTTCTCATCCAGATTTATTTATTTATTATTGTTCAAACCATCTGCACTATTATTGTGTTATATATTATTCATAGATTTTTGTAAAGTGCTACACCAAGTGCATCCATCCTCAATACCATTATTCAGGTATATATATCCTATAGCTCCACCTTGCAGCAACTGGCGTCCTTCATAATGCTGGACCCGGCTGCTGTATTAGGAGCTGCACAGAGGTAGAGGCGATGGAGGTAAGGTGAGTAACCACTCCCTCTTTTAGTGTGAATGCACTGATCAAATACGATCACATCGCGGTGCCGATTGGGAACTGTGAAGGTGTGACCGCACTGATTTGGTGCAGTCACACTGAGGTGCCGATCGGGCACTGTGACAGATCGCTGCTCGCAAACACAAGCATGCTATATCTGGCTCCCATTGGTCCATTTCATTCCGGCCCCCTATGCATGCATGGGGGCGCAGGCATGATGTGGAGCAATCAAATGTTACTTAAAGGTATTTAAACCTCCTTAGCCCTGTACACGGTGCCCTATTTTGGTTTCTGTCCCAGTACCTTTAGTGTGTTCTCTTGTATTATATTCTGGTATTGACCTTGGCTTTGTTACTGACTCTGCATTTTTTCTTTAACCCTTTCCTGCGTTGTTTTCCTGTCTGATTACCGTGTACCTGACTCTGGCTAGTTCTCCTTTTCACTGTATCTCTGTTACCCTGACCTCGGCTTGTTACTGACTATGCTTTTTCTCTATCTAACATTAAGTCTGGCCATTCTAAGGCAAGATAATAGTTTATTTACTTATTTTGTCCCTTGCTGTCCTGAACACTGCATGTTGGGGTTTAACAGTGTGACAGGCGTTTGCCACTCGTCAAGTATCAAGAGCGACTAGGGTAGGTCGTTGTCCTCATCTGAGGAGTGATCATGTGGCGAGAGCGAATCAGGTTGTGCTTTTTACCCTTGGATGAAATAGGCAAGCTCCTTCACCCTTCTCGTGGCGTTTAGTGGGGTGCAAGTAGGAGTCAGAGCCATCAGATTCTGCCCTATAATGGGCATACATGGTGGTATAGGCAGCTTTAGCAGGGTCAGAGCTCACCGGGAACACCTTCGAAGGTTTCTTTTCTACTGACGCAGCCACCGTTACATTGATCATGGCCTGGAAATCTACCACGTGGTTTGGGTGTCCTCCTTATTCAAACACAATCACAGACTACTGAGGCTCACTCAGTGTACAAAAGTACCACAAGAGCAACAGTATGTAGGCAGATAGACCACAGCAATACCTATGAAGCACTACGGGCAGTGATTGGGGTGGAACCAGGTGCAGGAAGTATGGACCAAAGTGTATAGACAAACACACACAAAAAGGAGTCCAGAAATAATCCCAGATCCAGACAGATTTGCTCTAAAAAGCCAAAATGTAAAGGTATCACAATGCACATAACATATACATGCTCACCAGTTAGTGAACAGTGGAGTCCAGCATCCAAAGCAGGGGTAGTCAATCGCAGAATTATCTAATTCAGCAGAATCACAAGGCAGATGCCGGCTAACACCCAAAATCATGTAGAAAGCAGATGCAGTTCATGAGAAAATAAAACAAAACATTTATTGAAATAGTCTGGAAAATGAACAAATTCAAGGACATTGCAGCGAAAAAACAAAAGCATCTTAACACATTTAGTGCGACATGACTCAAAGTCTTTTTTTCCGCTATGCTTATAATAACAAACATTTCCGCTATTCCACAACAACTATAGCAACGCAAACAATAATATTTAGTAATACATTGTGTGGCAGTTGAAATCACAGCACAATATTTTTTTTATTTTTTTAGTTAAAGTGTAAAAACAACAAATGGTCTAAGATACATGAAGCAAATACAGGAAGGTACACATACTAATAGTCTAAGAATGGACGATTATCAGACATACTTATCCCCCTAGGAGGCCCCCCCGAGTAGAGAAGTGCATAGACCAGCGTAAGTACAGAAAAGCTATAACGATATAATAGAAAAATTCCAGCAGGGGACACAGCAACAAAAGCAATGTGAGAAGAATCACTGCGTAAGCTATGCCACAGAGTAAGGTGAGTGACAATGAGCCCTTAGGAGTCCCGCCACACTGCCCATCTCAGCCTATGCCATTAAGAGGCAGAGCTTGGTCCTACAGCACAGAGAGACTCCTGAGGCTTCCTCTCTAAAAACCGAAGGCTTCCTCTCCTGAGGCTTCCTCTCTAAACCAAAGGCAGGCGAAATAGGATCCGCGGTGCTCTACCGATTCTCTTTGACATCCTAAATTCCAGGAGAGTCTCAGTATTGAGTCATAGTGTGCCTCGTCTTTGCTTCAGCCTGCACTTAGGCGGGGGAAGTCGCTCTCTCCACCTCCATGTTCTGACCCCCCAAAAGGGCTACGACGGGGATGTGAGAGCAGAGGGTGAATGGTCGCTGTGTTCCCGCGGAGCAGACTGTCTCCTATGGTGTGTCAGTTTCCACCAGAAGTCGTTGAAAAGTCTATCTAGCCTAGATATGATGTCCGTTTTCCTGCTGCTGTGATAGACGGAGCATGTGGTATCTGCCATATTGGCTCGGCAACTGCACCTGCCGCCGGAATGTTTACCAACGCCACTGCAGGGTAGCCTCCCAGGAGCGGACCAGGATAACCCTCACCGGTCCAAAGGGGGGGGGGAGGGGTGCAGCAGAGTGATATTGCTATAGTTTGGCTGCTACCAGCCAGGGGATCAGCTTGGTGCACCTCCCAGGCCTCACTGCTTGTGTCATCAATAAGACCAAAATTACGTCTAACCGACGCTCAACCTGGACCAGCTTAGGCAGAGATGAGGTATGTCTCATTGTAGCTAGCGTTAGGATGGGTATTAGTTGATTTAGTCCATACGTTGGGTTACAGGCAGGGGGCGCTCATGAAACTCGTCCAGCCCGCATGAAGGTCGAGCCCCATCTTAGTCTTAAAAAAAGTGTACAGACAGTTTGGCAGAATAAAATCAGCCACAGTAAATACAGGCCGTATAACAAACGTGGTCAAACAACCATGGCTCAGCCAGTTTAGGAGACAGCAACAGCAGGCTCCCCTTAATAACTAAATTACATGTAAGTAATAGGGGGTCAACCCATAAACCAGTAGGGCAAGCAGCACCTACCACTCAAGTAAAACCTTCCAGGGACAATACACTGACTTTAAATTCAGTCCCCCACACCCAGGCAGGTAGCATTGAAAGAGGAACAAACTTGCAGAATACGCAGCAGGAGCGGTGATGCAGGCAGGCACTGTGTGAAGGAGCAGTCAGCCCTCTCCCTCTCTCTCTCTCTATATATATTTATATATACACCTCGAAAGAAAAAAAGGAGAATTAAATGCATGCATGCGTTCATTGAGGGTATGCCTACTAAATAGAGGGGTTGTATTTTTCAGTGGATTGTTCCTTCAGAGATGTGGAAAGCAGGACATGCCTATATATGAAGACGTCTCCCAGCAGCATGGCTTGATTCCAAAATTACTTTTGGCCTATGTACAAATGTGTAAAACCAGAACTCAAAAAACTTCAGGATGCAAATCCTTTGATGATCTACGTAACCTGTCAAACCTGAAATAGCTGGAACGTTTTATATAATACAAGGATGACATGAGGCAAGCAAATACACATTGCATTGGTTGCCATGGAGAGGTACAACTGCATTGCTACAACAATCTGGTCCACAACCCCAAACCCCCCCCCAAATCTATGAAAGGGTTAAAAAAAACAACAACTTTATTCGCATACCTGATAGCAGCACCGATGTCCCTCTGCAGTGGCTTGTGCTCCTTCCCCCGCTGACGTCAGCCGATGGGGGGGGGGACCTAATGTGCATGCACAGTAAGCGTCGAACGCTTGGTGCTGGATGTTTCACTGAGTCACACTCTATGAAACTGCAGGAAGCGCCTGTAGTTGCAGTCTTAAACCTGCAATGTAAACATCGCAGTTGCTCAATGAGATGAAGAGGTCTGAGTGCCTATAGCGTCTCTTGTCTTGCCTTAGAAATTTGCTGTCGTCATCCTGAGTCACTTCCTCTCTTTATGCAAACCCAGCGATGTTGTAATTGGGCCCCGCGGGCTAGAGACTCAAATAAATGCCAGCCTTCTAAATTAAGTGGACAGAATTACAATAGAATTAGTCACAATTGCATGAATTTTATACCCAGTAACCTTCATCTCGAATCTGAATTTCCTTCGTTCTCCTTCTTTTGTCCTTACTCCTGTCAGATCTCCATTTGCTCTCACAAAAATTTTACCATCTTACCTCGAGCAAGGTTCTTCACTAATTAACCAGGCGCGGTAAATTTTAGGAGAAAATAACTGTTGTAGGAAAAAAAAAATAGCTTAGTTAGGAATTTATTTTTTTGCAGTTTGACTTTGACTTCAAATTTACAATTTTCTGACCAATTACAGGTTTAATGAATCCAGTGAGGGAATTCATATATTTTAACATGTTAATGTTTATTTTTTTCTGAAATGCAACGTATTCCTTTATAAATATAAATAAAAAAGAGCCCGTTTTGTCATCTTCTTTATTCTCTGTTTCTGTATTCTAAGAGCCCGTTTTGTCATCTTCTTTATTCTCTGTTACTGTATTCTACGAATGGAGCTCTTCTGTGCTAGTCAGTATTCATTTTTGAAAGCAGTTGTGTGTTTCATTGTATAATTCTATTTGAACGCCATCAGAATGAATTCTCGCTATAGCTTCTTCTGCATAAAGAAATTAAACATCAACTTGCATAAAACAGTCGAAACATAAATAGAAGCAGATGTCCCAAATAAGAAACAAGTTTAATTACAGTGATAAGCACTCACATAACCAATGTAGGGTGCTTATACTGACCTTAAATCCACTATCTAGTCAATGGAAAAAGGACATTGCAGAATGTTTCAACAAGTTCCCTGGTCTTTATCAAGTCATCACTGGTTAGTCGAAACATTGTCACTGCCGATGTGTATCTGCAAAGAAAGGTTTGCTCCTGGCTCCTTGTTTGAGCAGGTCTTACTTCACCTGTAAATATCCCTTCTTTATAATTTGAAAGCGCTGTGGAATATGGTGGCGCTATATAAACAATAATAGTAACATCCTCGTAAACCTCCATCTCTGTATTACTACAGTTTTTGACACTGTTCTGTATACTGTTCATTTTAAAGGTGCAATTCCTAAAAAAATTGAAGTGGAAAACTATGCACAACTGCTCTTAACAAGGCTGAATGAAATTCCACCTATAGAGTTTTAGAATTTTTTTTCTAAACAGATAATTGAAAAAATAAGGTGAAGAGAATAATGTGTTGCAAAATGAGAAAATTGCAGAAGTGTCATATTTTTGTAACAATTCTTACAGGTACACTACAGGCTGTAGTTGACACCATTATTAAAGCATTTCAAAATATGTTAACAATTTAAAAAGTTTCTTGTCTAGGAAGTTCCTGCATTTGTTGAAGTCCTCAATCTTTGCCCAAACTACCCTGACATCTCTGAGCCAAATCTAGCTTTCCCATTGTTTTCAATGGGTATTGAGCACATCCCATTAACGAATAACCTGTCTGTGCATAAGCAGGAATAGAAGCAGAAATCCCAAATAAGGTCTAGAAACAGATTGAAATATAGTGATAATCACTCACATACCCAATGTAGCACGCTTACCCCAAATCCACTATTTAGTAAACGTTAAAAGGACATGTTCTAACCAGTTCCCTGGTCTTTATCAAATTCTCACTTCATGAAGACCATTCGATTAGTCGAAACATTGTCACTGCAAAAGTGTGTAGCGGATGGCACTGGGCTGTCCTGAGAATTACATGTATTTGAATGCATTTGTGTAAAATAGCAAAGTTCTATGTGTTAAATGTATTGTATTCTTCTGAATGTTAGGTAGTTTCATTCCCTTTGTTCGAATGAAACTACCGAACAGTCAGACCTCCCCTGTGGGAAGTGTGCCTTCGATTACCCGTTGCAACATTGTTGTGAATGGGTAATTGACATGCTGAGTAGCCGTCCTTTGTTCTCGGGGGTGGCCGCCAATCGGGAAACGAACACGTGGCGGCGGCCATTTTAAAACTTCCGAACAGCAGTGTTTTGCCGTCGAGTGTCTGGAACTCAAATTGGGCACTCGACTAGGCGAACACCGCTGAGACCTCCACAAGCCCGGTCCATTCAGTTCCAAACTACCGAACGGCCCCTCGTTCGGTAGATATAAATAACCGAACGAGGGGATTCAGGCGAACCCTCCCTAGTCTCTGTAGCTAGAGGCTTTCGTGCAGTTTATTCCCTGACTCCAGGACTGACCGCAGAGCCCCATCGCATGGAACCCCATTCGGCTGTTCTCTCCAGTGCGGTCGGTCATTTTATTCCCTCCATGAATTTCCCGAACCCCTGGTCTGATCTGGGTGATTTTTGGATATGTTGTTCACCCAGATCAGGGCTACCAGGGGATGTATAATTTAAAGTGGTACCCCTAAGTTTAGGGGTACATCCAGAAATGGGGGGAATTGGTGTCCTGGATAAGGGGATTATGATGCAGGCTGAGGGGAGGAGATGTGTGGGAGGTTACCAGAGCAGGATTGGCTACTGTACAAATTAATGAAAATCCCTCCCTTGCATGGGAGCAGGCTTTAAAAGGCCACTGTGTGAATAAATCTTTAGTTCTGCTCCTGATACTGTGTGTCGTCCAGTTATTGGGAGTGCTGCTGGGATACTGCTGTGTTATTTTGCCTGCTGGATACTTTACCCTATGGATTTATAATTTTACCACATGACAGGAGGCTTCATATTTGCATATCTTTCTTTACTGAAAACTCCAGCAGCATAGAAACATAACAACCAATCAGAAAAAAGTTATGATGCCCATAAAAGGCCCTGTCTATGACATCACTTCCTCTTTCTTTGCTGCTCCAGCCATACATCAGGTCAGAGTATTTTACCTCTCTGGTAGATTCTTAATTTACACAGTTTTTTTGATTGTCATACCACTATATATTACTCTATTTATTGCTAACACCTGCTACCTTGGCCCCCCTTATTCCTGTCCCTTCACTGTATTCCTCTGTTTTTTTTCCCCCTTTTTATTTCCACCTTACTGCCTGGTATCCGCGGGCGCAACGACTACCCGTGTCGCGCTCGCCTCGCGGACTGGCCCTTTCACTTACACAGGGGGCTGTATGGGGACGGGTGGAGGGAGGCTGGGGTCAGCGTTTGTGTTGCATTTATCCCCTTTGTTTGGTACCGCGCGACCGTGATCCGCGGCGCACCTTCACATGTGGGCGGCGGCCATCTTGGATCTTGCGGCTCGCGAGATACCCGACGGCCGCCTTCCCTGCTCGCTCGGCGGATCGGGAACTCACCCGACCGCTGGGCTCCACAAGTGTATGCTCTCCCAAGTGAACAATGGGAGAGTGCAAGCTGGATTTCAGTTTTTTCTCCATGTATTCTTTCGATGTATTTTGCCACAGTGCCTGCCAACAGTGTCTGCCAAACAAATACTTACATGCAGGCATTAAAAGAGATTATGTCTTTGTACCTTACTCAGGGTCTATACCCTATACAGGGTCATACCATATTACTATACCCTGCACAGGGTCATAATATATTACTATACCCTACAGGAATCACCCGATCACCGCGCCCTGCATCTGGATTAACCCCTTATGGGGTCCCCCTCTCTGGGCACATTCATTTATTGATACAATTATTATTTTTTATTCTCATGGATATATCTCTCATGGTGCCTTACACTGGATGATTATATGTTGAGCAGGCACACAATCTATGTATTATTGTGAAGCCATACAATATCACAGTCGTTATACAAAACATATACTGTACCTATAACAAGATCAACTATATCACTGTACCCTACGAAGGGCATATTGTGTTACTGTACCCTACAAAGGGCATATTATATTATATTATTGTACCCTACAGAGGGTCATATTATATTACTGTACCTGACGGTGCAAATTTATGTGGGTGTCCTCTGGGTATTTTTTTCATGGCACACCACCTGGGGTGACCCCCCAGATATGCATGCAAGGTCACTGACAGACCATTACCTTTGATGTGGGTGTTCTCTGGGTTACCATGGCACACCACCCGGGGTGAACCCCGATCATATGCACGGAGGCCTACGCCTCAACTTTACCACTGATTACTACAGACATATATGGATGTTTAACCCCTTAAGGACCAAACTTTTGGAATAAAAGGGAATCATGACATGTCACACATGTCATGTGTCCTTAAGGGGTTAAACACTGCCTGTCAGTTTTACATTAAAGCAACAGTACCATGCCGGATGCGATTTGACGGCAGGATCACTAAGAAAACTGAGTGTATTGCGGTGTACCCTTCACAGGGATACATATATGTATATTTACTGTGCCTAGTGTACATATTGAACGTGGGTGCCCTCTGTAATTTTTCATGGCACACCACCTGGGATGACCCCCAGATATGCATGCAATGCTTGTAAGGTGCCAATAATTATAATATGGGTGTCCTCTGGGTTACCATGGCACACCACCTGGGATGAACCCAGCCTAATAGACATGGGTCCTGCGGCCGCAGACCTTATGGAGACAGGCCCCATGCGCCTATATAATAAGCCTGTATTGTTAAAAACCGTGCATACAGCACTGGCGTACATTTGTGGTGAACCCGGCTAGCCAGACCGACACCACTACCAGTCAGTTGCACCTGCACCACAGCTCCCAGTAGCCAGTTTAAACTAATAGAGGTGACCCCTCTACACTTGGCACGAGTATTCATACTCTCAGACATACTAAAGCAGGCAATTCAAACCGTTTTACCTGGGTGATCCCCAGTTCTACCAGGAGTCTAACACCCCTACGTGCTGACCCTCACACTATCTCCCAACAGGACGGGAACGAGTCATGGTGGACACTCTCAACGTTCCCAAGATTTCTAGGCAATGATAAACGCCACAGTAACGGCCTCAGTGGAGAAGGTTCTGTTATGAACTCTACCCCACACCGCTTGATGGAGACCTCAGGCCCACAAGCCTTCAAGTCAAAACAGCAAGGGAAGGGCTCCAGCCCCCCTGCCACTAAGGTCAAGGGCAAGACGCCCATCGAACAGACCAAATAGGCGGAGCACCGGGAATCCAAACCCCGTCCGCCACAATCTTCCGACAAAGAAGACTATTACCCACCACGTACTTTGGACATGGTAGATGAGCGACACGAAGACAGCTCACTGTCTGAAGAAATGGAACGGCAAGACCTTCCCCACACTTCCTCGAAGTACGTTAGGGAAACCTTACTCTGTGACGGCGGCTGAGGCAGAGATAACTGTAGCGGCACTAAACCAGAGTAGCCGAAGACGGAACGTTCCTGGACGAACACTATTGGCTGCGCAACCCTCGGGGGATGGAAGGATGCGCACGCCTCAAGACCGAGTTACCCCAGGGTACACAACTCAACCCTACCACCTCCAAAGAATGGTCTCAATGCTCGATATGCCTCCTTGGCAACGTAAATGACGCACTATGCGCCGACAGACGCAAATCTGTACTGGGCTGCATCGACAACACACTATTGGACTTATGAACGACAAGAATTCGGCCCAAAAGCACAAGGCCTACTATTCGACGTAGTGTTCATTGCAGTACTCAAGAAACACGTGAATTTATTCACCACACTAAATTAAACCCAGACCTCGCTAAAACAAGTCTTCCACAACCCTACGGGGAAAGGTGTTTCTGGGAGGACTGGTCGGTAGCTGAACCGAGCCACCAGCCGCTTCTGGGCGACAGGTTCCAGATCGTATACACAGTCCTCATATTTCTCCCATCTACTACACAAAGGAACCCATCCGCTTCATCTACTAGTGTGTCAACCTACATAACTAACTGTTTCCAATATTATGACCGGCAACCTGTCTCTGTTTTACAGAATTGGGAGACGACTACCAAAGTCACCTGGGTTCTCCAAACAGTACAAGGCTATGTCATAGAGTTTTATCACAGCCGTGCAGGTCGCCCCTTCACCTCCATTACGCACGCTGGCGGAACAGGAACGCCTCGTGGACAAGAAAATCTGCACCCTCTTCAGGAGGGGCGCAATTCAACATGCACCGGAGGGGAAGGCTTCCCCAGCAAATTTTTCCTGGTCAAGAAGAAGCCAGGAGACTACATCAATGGAACTCCTACATGGTATACAAATGCTGCAAGATGGAGGAAATTCGTCTTCTACAAGACCTCCTAGGCGATAACGACTGGTTTACACATCTGAACCTCAAGGACGCACGCTTGTCAGTACCCGTTGCCCTGGACTGCCGAAGTTTTCCTCCGATTCCAATGGTGAGAACGAACACGGCAGTTTACAACTCCGTGGTGCTCGCGAACCTACTGTAACCAGTGAGGGCACACATCCGTAAATTTGGGCGTGCGATGCCTCGTATACCTGGAAGACTTGCTGATTCTTTATGAATCCAGGCTACGTTTGCAGACAAATTTGTCGTTCACTTTCGGGACTCCATGGGTTTTTTGTTGTACACAGACAAAGATCGCTTCTCCATCTGAATCGGGCCAGTTCCTCGTTTTCGACATCGGCTTGGAGAACTACGTTCCGCGTTCGTCTACGGCAAAGAGCACCTCTATAAGGATAGCTGTCGGATTGTGGGATTCCTCCCCTCCTCTCCTCCTCCATACAAGCGTTATTCCCTGGCCCACTACGACTGATGGTGAGATACGTACGCACCGGTCACTCATACAACCACTGGATCCCACTGTCAGCGGAAGTGAGGATGGAATTTCGATGGTGATTACTTCACATACAAACTTGGATTGGCAAAACGATCTTTGACTCTTCCTTCGCATACGGGGCGATGGATGAACCCCTGCAAACGTGACCCAGCCGTTCTCCACAATAGCAAGGGTGCTTCGATACACACACACACCCACAAGATATCGCTCCTGCTCATGACACCCCTCGGGCAGGGCCAACCGTGATTCCCCGGATCGCCTGGAGATGTCTCGCGAAGACCCTCTACTACTCCCTACCTTCTACTTCTGACGGGACCTCGAGGGGAAGCCCACTCCCTTGTCATGGAAGGACAACTGGCACTAGTTGCCTGGATGGTTTCAGGGGCTCCTGGTCAGTTCACGACCTATTGCATCAACTAAGACCTCCTATGGGACTCATAGGCTCCCGGCACCAGGAAAGGCTATATTTCTGCCTGGTCAGCCTGGAGTGATTGGTGTGTGGAAAGGGATTCCGATCCCTTTACCGCACCTGTCCCACTGATCCTCAACTATCTGTCACACCTGGTCTCGTTGGGTCGGTCAAATCGATCCCTCAACGTGATCAGATCCGCCATATCGGCGGCGCACGTTCCAGTACAGGGCAGACCAGTAGGTCAAGATACACTGGTTTGTCGACTACTGCGGGGTGCTGAATTGTCGAGATCCCTGCACCCAAATATTCACGCCTCTGGCAGGTGGATGTGGTGCTGAGATTCCTTAGGGAATGGCCGGACAATCCTTGTTTGTCACTGAAGCAACTTTCAGCCAAACTAGCCCTCTTATTATGGCTCGCCTCATTTAGACGTTGGCGGATGTTAGGGCTTGCGATATGGATGGTTTCTCTCTCACACCAGATGGGGTTACCTTTACCATGTCGAGACGAACTAAGTCCGATTCGTCTTCAGTGTCATACCCATGCTTTGTGTCAGACGCCACACTATGCGTGGTCAGAACGCTAATGGGGTACACCAATATCTCTACCCCCTTCAAACTCATTCGACGGATCACCTTCTGACTTCTTACGTGAACCCTCATGGACCGGTGTCTACCGCAACACTGGCCAGATGGGTCCGCTGGTTTTTGTCTTTAGCGTCGAACCTTGTTTCGGAGCCCACTCGGTCAGGGGAGCGGCGGCCTCACAAACCTTTTTCGGCCGACGCTTCCCTAGCCGACATTATACGCTGCGCGGACTGAGCGCGAGAGAGTACGTTTAGAACGTTCTATTTTCAGCAAAAATCTCATGCTTCCTTCACATTGGTCAATTCAAAGCTTTAAAAATGCAAATATGAAGCCTCCTGTCATGTGGTAAAATTGAAGATTATATTAGCTTTAGTGTACTAATAATCTTAATTTTAGTAATGACAGGAGGCGAATATTTCCCACCCTATAGGATCCCTCCCATGTTTCTCGTGTTGAACAGAATATGTCCTTTATGTTCAGGAAGGTAAGTACGTATGGTTTGTATGTTTGCTACTTAGACCTGTATCTTGTGGGTCTTGTATTGGCTGAATATTAGACATGAACCTTGCATTATGTTGTGTTTATAGATTCTTAAATATCATTGCGTTCGAATAAATATATATTGATATGTTTCACATTCTAATGCTCGTTGGTATATCAGATGCTTAATGCTTATTATATGCGGACAAGTTATCACGCCAGATACCTTTCACCTTTTTCTTTTTCTTGCAGCGTGAACGTCTTCTCATCGAGACAAAGATTCACCTTCCACACCTCTGCATCGCGGAACTAATGGAGTTGGATATTCTAATATGTTGTTGAACTGTTGACGTAATATGATTATGTCTCTTGTTGTTATTTATTGTTTCGCTTCAAAGAAAGAGGAAGTGATGTCATAGACAGGGCCTTTTATGGGCATCATAACTTTTTTCTGATTGGTTGTTATGTTTCTATGCTGCTGGAGTTTTCAGTAGAGAAAGATATGCAAATATTCGCCTCCTGTCATTACTAAAATTAAGATTATTAGTACACTAAAGCTAATATAATCTTCAATTGCTTGTTGCTGAACCTCCCTGGGATCTAAAGTGGAGATAGGCTGTGTAATACCAGCTCTCCGCTACAAAGTGTATCTACAAAGTAACGATTATTGTGTGTGGATTGTTCCTTTTAACAATTGAAAAAATTTTTGAGTCCAAATGCTAAATTACAAAACTTTATTTCTCTCCCATACCACATCCAGCCGTGAAAATAATGCGCTAGCCCTTATTATTGCTAGAAACTGCTAGAAATGCACGATTCGATTTTTTTTTAAAAATAACAAAAAAAGTTATGTTAGATGGATTGCGGTTTTATAGTCCCCCTGCACTTTCTTCATTATGGAATTATAGATTTTTTTAGTTTATTGAAAAACTCCCTTTATTTGCTCTGCCTTACACTACTATTACAAATATGTGATTTGTTAATAAAATGTAAAAAAAATGCAAACTTTTTTTTATAAAGAGTTTTCTTAAAAAAAATAATTACAAAAAATTAATAAAAATCCCACCGGAAAATGATTTGTTTTCATTTCTTGGACACACGCTAGCCTGAAGCCTCCAGTAGCTCGGTTTTTGGAATTATTTTGTCTTTCACAGTCTGCCAGCCCTTGATTTCATAGTACTGGAAAGCCCTCGAGAACACGAGTAGAACAATGAGCTAATGGAGAATCCTCCATTACACTTGGCATTAACCAGAATCTCTGGCAGAAGTGTAAATAATGTTTAGAGTACGCATTGTGCTAATATGATAGTAGGTAGGCTATTTTGGATTTGTCTGAGACAATGAACGTGTGTATACTTTTAAGCTCCTCTCCATGCCTGAACACTATGATCATATTTCAAAATAATCCAACATCTATTATAAATATTTAGAACTTCCCTCAAAGCCGAATGCTATTTTATAATTTTAGCTATCATAACAAGTTTTATCCCTGTTTACGGTACTTGTTCCTTATCTATAAATGTCATCTTGCAGTTCATATTTCTACTGCGTATTTTACTTCCCAGATCTTATTATTCAGTAAACTGGCACATTCCATCTTAGAATGAACGCAGAACACTAGATTAGCTGCTATTGTAGGAGATTTTAGAGTTTTATTATATTGGAAACGTTGACTTCACCATTAAAGCAAAGCGCCAGGAGCGGTGAAATACCTAAAACATGCAAGTATAGTCTAAAACGGGTCAAGGTTAATGGAGAACAGATCAGGATAGCGGAAAACAGCAGAATCAGAGTAAAAGGCACAAGTTAGAAACCACAATAACATAAACCGTTAAGCAGTTAGGGTCTATAGTGGGGGAATATGGGATGTAAAAGTGTAAAGGGGATGTTATTGGCGTCAGGGTTTTAATGTGTGTGGGGGTTAGGGTCTATAGAGGGGGAATATGGGCTGTAATGGGGTACATGGGATGTAATTGGGGTAAGGACTATATTGTGTGTGGGGGGGGGGGTTTAGTAGGGGAATAGGGGCTGTGAAGGGTATTGAGGGCTATAATGGGAAATTATGGACTGTGGTGGAATAATAGGGTCTGTAATAGGGGTATAGGGCTGTGGTTGGGAAGTAGAAGCTGTAATGGGGGCACATTAACCCATCGCAATGCAACAAACACTAGAGCACACAGGAGGAATGCTGGTTTCGACCTGTGTGCTGCTGAGGCCAAGCACTATCCAAATTTAAAGATGGCCACCGAGCAGGCATGGCGGCCATCATACGAAAAAGAGTGCTGTGGCTGGCCCAAAACCAGGGGCATAACTGGGCCTCTCGTGGATACTCTCCATGACCCATTTATATTTATTAAGATACAGAATTTCCAATGCAATTCTAGCTCACACAGACTCTTTCTTTAGGCCGTCTACAGTCTTGTCCAGCAATTTGAAGGATCCATCTTAATGATGTGTTATTAACCAAAAGTGTACAATTGGCATTACCTTTCAGGCCTCTTTAAATGAATAGTGTTTTCAGCTAGATCCACTGTGCATAATTGCTGATTTACTGTGCTCTGACCTTGGGACATGAGCTGAGTTTTGATTGCTGTATGACTGCTGAAGTTGTGACTAGAATTTCAATACTTTTCTGTCTGGACCTTTGCTTGTTACCCTGAACATTGTTTGCTGCCATAACCCCACTCTGCATGTGACCCTGGAGTGGATGGTCACTCCATCGTTGCCAACCTAATGATCCCAGAACCAGTGCCTTTCAGAAACACCTGGGGCTTCGGCCTAAAGGAAAACCTGATGATTCCTACACTAACAATGAGGTGGGAATATGTCATGACATACCTCTACCATTTTATGTTATGTTCCACTTCTCATAAGAACTTGCTGCTAATGCTCTCTGAGATGAAAGCATAGCCAGAAACAAGCACATGATGCACAGACATGCATTCAATGTTATCCTGCCATTTTTCCTATCTAATAAAGGGGTTGCCTGATGTAAAAATAAACACTAACTAATAATCTCTTCCTCTTTTTTTCTCCACCAGTGGTAAAGACCCAGGGCTAAAGAGCCCCACAGCCAGGGGTCTAGCCCCCAAAGCACCCCCAGCAATGCCTATGCCTTTTATACACAATGCACAGACAGAAGGAATGCCTTTTTGTACGCTCGCTGCAGCTTTAACCTCAGCATAATATTTATCTATATCCATTTTGCTGACGGTACTTCCAATCAAGTCTTTTGTAGTATGTTGTTTGTTGCAGACCGCATTTTCATCCTCTGCTGTGGAACCTCTTCTTGACAATTCTACTCTTTTATAGAGTCCCAGTGGCCACCACAGCCAAAGGGTCCAAAGTCAAACTGTGACTTCTGTGGAAGAGGCCTATGTAAACCATCATCTGGAGTGTTTTTACTCCTGATTACTTGTTCCCACATGTCTCCTTATATGGGACACCAGACAACCAACCTGGGACAGCAGGACAGGACCCTGAAATGGGGACAGTCGCATCGGAGGTTTGATTTTTTTTTGTGATGCTTATTTTGAGTCTCAGTGGAACTAGACTGCTAAGGGACTTGCAATCCAATGTTAGCAGGTTGAATATTGCCCCGGATTCTACAAAAAGCCAGCAGAGAGAATATTTATTGCGTGACAATCAACAAAGAGCAAGAGATAAGGCGATTCTGTGTTTCAAGTCCTGACAATTGCTTGTCATCTTCAGAACTGAATTCGCTACATTGCTTGCGACCTTGACTTTTCTTTCAGTCAATGTCTAAGTCAGTTGAGGGGATCCACCTCTTGTCTAGATATATAGATGACTGTGCTTTGTTTAGCTCTATGTACAAGAGAGCAGAGATCTGGCAGGATGCCAAGGTGTGAATCAGTGCGTTTAAATGCAATTCCTTTGATAGGATTTCTGTTGTAACGAGCAGTGTCACCCGTGAGAAGTCCTAATACAGTCATACCTACAGCAGTCACTCCCAATGAGACGTAAAGGTGGACATCCTTTTTTCTCCACTTCTCAAAGAAAAAAAAAAAAATCTATGTAACGTACACTTGGATACAAACTATATTTATTGAACAACCTTTAATTATCAGGTGGGTGACTGTGCATTATAGATACAGATATAGTCTAAGCAACATAACCATTACAGCGGGGAGCTGTCCCCCTGATTATTATTTTTTTGTCAAAATGTTTATCAATGCCCCCAGAGATCTTACTTAGAAATTAACATTGATAATATGGAAGTGTAAATTCTGCATTATCGAGTGCTCTGGAAAGGAGGGAGCAGTCTCGGGGTGCTAGTAAATGTACCTGTTTTTTTTTTTTTTTATCCTTGGTAAAGGGATTATATTGCTTAGACGGCCCATTTAATTTGTGACTAGGACTTCATGAATGAGGGCTGAGTGATATACTATAAAGATTTCAATCACATTTTTACCTTTGTGAATTGTAGTGATAAATATATCATTATTATCACGTGCTTACATTCTTTGCAAGGAACAAGGTAGAAGTCTGGTATTTTATTATTAAAGAGTAATTACCTTGTGTTTATAGAAGACTTGCTATGAAGTTAATATCTCTTGTAAAATCACGTATATACTAGTTGTCAGTAAAATTTAGAACCCTGTTCAGTCAAAACGTTAAGACTAACTGTATGGTCAGAAAAGACAGTAACTCATCTAGAATGGGCTGTGTCTGGGCTTTATATAAATAGAATTGCAAGGATGTGCCCTGATTCCTTAAGCCCCAGATAAACACTTCTATTTACAATATTATAAAGAAAGATTAAAAGAACAGTTTAGGTACTATAACCACTACTTTTTGCTAATGCTTTGCTTCTCTATCAGCAATATCAATTTGGCTCGTTTCTTACCTCTCCATTTCAGGTGATACAATTTCTCTGGTGTTCACTTTATTCACTATTAACCAAAATGAAAGGTAAATGAGCTGAAAGCGTTCCAGCTATTTTCAAATGGGTCCCATGGCAACGGTGAGATTTGTTTGAAAATAGATCCAGCGGACATCAGCCTTATCAAATCTAATCACACATTAGCCAAACGTGCTCACTGTAATGAAAAAAAAGAGATGATGCTAAAGTAAAAGCAGGGCCGGGGGTGCATTCAAAGTTAAGCTATTGTTATGGGTTGGAAGGGATTCTCTACGCACCACAGTACATTATTATTATTATTTTGTAATTTATATAGCGCCGTCAGATTCCGTAGCGGTGTGCATGTATTGGTTGTGGTGTATAGGTGCTGCCTATTTGCTCAGACATTGTAAAACATTGCCATTCCTGAGAAATGTCAGTGTTTATGTCAGGGCTTCGCAGGTGGTCTCCCCTCCTCCTACCTGTCGGTGAGCGGCGTCTCCTCTCCGCTGCGCGCCGCTCGCATCCTCCTCCTCGCCTCCCAGCGGCAGCATGGATAACGCTGTACGCTGGGAGCCCGCGCAGTTATGCGAACGCCGGGGTCAGTCATGTGACCCGGCGTTAAAGCAACAGTACCATAATCACAGTGGGAAGTGTAGATATCTCCCACCTGTGATTGTTAATTCTGATTGGAAGTTATCCAATCAGAATTAAGCAAAGGATATATATATATACTTACCTTTCCTGTCTCTCAGTGCCCTGTTGTGGTCTTGTGTTACCTGTATTGCAGTTTGCTCGTGTTGCTCTCTGGTTACCGTTTATTTGGCTCGTTATTCCGATTTTCCTGTATTCTCCACTCCTTTGACCTTGGCTTGTTTCTCGTTCTCCCGTTTTCTGTCTCCCTTTTCTTAGTGTGCTTAGCCCGGCCACTCTAAGGACCGGTATAGCATCCTTCCTCTCTGTGACCTGTTAGCGTGTTAGGTTCCGGAATCGTGACATTTTACATTAGATCTTGATAAAGACCTAATTTGAGGTCGAAACGTTGTTGCTGTTACTATATGAACTGGTCTAAATTAAACCTGCCATCTAATTACCCTTGAGTGCCCTGTTCATTTTTGCTTTCCTACTTATGTATTGGGGTTTGCTAGCACCTGGTTCAGATTTTCACCCTCGATTTATACCTAAGAAGAGTGCAGTTGTCTTCTTGTTGCAACAGAATGTTTATATTTAAGCTGAAAACGCATCTCAAGGGCCTGTCAGACAACCACTAGAGCTGATTTCTACTGGAGACCTTTGGTTTTAGAATGCAACCTATGCCTTTCATATGATAACTTGATAAATCACCAAATTCTTTAGTAAATGCTAATAAAATCCTGTTAGTATTTAGAAAATACAAATATTTAGAATTGAGCTCCAAATTATTTGCACATTATATTTCGTTTTCCTATGAGAAACATTGGATTCATATGTCAAAGCAATGGTTGTGCATGTGCCATATATTCACAATGCTTATTTATCGATATTTGTAACGTTAGAGCGCTGTGAAATATGTTGGCGCTATATAAATTCTAAAAATAATAATAAATATACCTTTTCATGAAGTTGCCTTAGGGTGATTTAGGTTTAGAGGACCCAGAGGTGTGGGTTTCAATCCCCCTATGTTTTATTTATCAAGGTAAACTGAATGAATTATATGGAATTCAAGTAAAAAGTGCTGATTTACGTCAAAAAAATCTTACTCAGCTTTGGCCTTTTTAACGTAAACTATGTTGTTCGGTATGCAATTCACTACAATTCAGCGTTTCGTGAATAAAGGCCACTCTATAGCTACTAAGGTAAAATTATGACCAAATAGATCATGTCTAATGTTAGTTAGTAAGATTATTTATACCTGACCAGCTATTTGTCTAAACTTGATAAAACGTTAAAATATTTATTTATTACATGCTAATACAACCCTGTTACTGTTTAGTAAACACAAATATCTAATATTAAGCTCTAAATTGTTTGCACAGTTTGTGAAACTAAATGTTGAAAAGGTTGAGGCAATATCAAAGTTAACCAAATAGCATTTCCCTATCTCATGTGTGATGGCATGGGAGTTAAATGTATGGAACAGGTGGATTCCCCACCTACCTGATCCTTCTTTAACTTTAATCCCCATATACCTTCATATAAAGGCAAGGAGGTAGCTCATGTAATTATAATTAAATACCGTTATTTATAATGCCGTAGTTTTTAAAACACCATGTAGATTATTGCCCCCCATCCCACAATGCCCTAGTGTTAACGGACCTCTAATCTAGTGGTGAGATGGTCCCTCCTAACATCTACACCCTGCCTCTGGGAGATCTTCACTGCTCATGGTGGGGGAATTTATCAGTGTTTTGTGCTAAAAAGTGACACATAAATGTAATATACGAGGAGTCATAGACAGAATGTTCCTGCTGGTTCCATTAGTTTCCATAGTAACTGCCCTACTTTAAGACAGTTTTCAGATCAAAACACTTTACTTATTATTTATAAAGCGCCAACAAATTCTGTGGCGCTGTACAACAGGTGGAATAACAGAAAAGTATTTGTAACAAGACGAGTTGGATGTACAAGAACAAAGGTTGTTGAAGGCCCTGTTCAAACAAACTTACATTCTGGAGGGAGTGGGGTAAAATAATACAAGAGGTAAGTTAAAGGACCACTATAGGCACCCAGACCACTTCAGCTCAATGAAGTGGTCTGGGTGCCATGTCCCTCTAGTGTTAACCCTGCAGCTGAAAACATAGCAGTTTCAAAGAAACTGAGGGTTAATCCAGCCTCTAGTGGCTGTCTACCTGACAGCCGCTAGAGGCGCTTCTCACTGTGAAAATTACAGTAAAAAGACGCTGGACGTCCATAGGAAAGCATTGAAAAATGCTTTCCTATGGGCGGTTTGAATCCGCGCGCGGCTCTTGGAAAACAAGTTTGTTTTCCTGGCACTATATTGGTCCTTTAAGGATGTATTTCATGTGCAGAAAAAGTAGTTTACTAGAATAGTTTACAGTGAAGGGTTAGTCTTATTGAATGACACAGTTGCAGGAGAGGAAGCAGGGTGGCTTACCAAGGTTCGGAGAGGGATAAATCTCTCCAGTGTTTGTTAGTTTCTTCTCCTCCAATGCAACAAGTGCCAAGCTGTGCCAGGACAGAACTGGGTTGTGATGACAATTCCTAAATCTGTAATATAAAATAATACAACTAGGCATATCGTGGATAACACAGGTTATAGGTGATTTTCATTGTTTGATGTGTGTTGCTGCCCCTTTAAAGGTCCCTTAATTATAAATAAAGGATAATGAAAATCTCATCTCCCATTAATCCCCTCTCTCCTTCACTCACTTGCACAGGGCAGGAGGGGTACAATGTGCCCAGTTAAAGCCCCCCGGTCCTCCCTCAGCTCTGAGTGTGACCCCTGAGTGATCCTCCCCCCCTGCTCTGAGTGTGACCCCTGAGCGATCCTCCGCCCCAGCTCTGAGTGTGACCCCTGAGTGATCCTCCCCCAGCTGAGTGTAAAACCTGAGTGATCCTACCACCCAGCTCTGAGTGTGTGTAGCTCTGAGGTGACCCTGAGTGATCCCTCCCAGCCTGAGTGACCCCTGAGTGACCCTCCCCAGCTTGAGTGTGACCCCCGAGAGGATCCTCCCCCAGCTCTGGAGTGTGACCCCTGAGTGATCCTCCTGCTCTGAGTGGACCCTGAGGATCCTCCCACCCCAGCCTGGAGTGTGACCCCTGAGTGATCCTCCCCCTGCTCTGGAGTGTGACCCTGAGCATCCTCCTACCCCAGCTCTGAGTGGGTGACCCCTGAGTGATCCTCCCCAGCTGGAGTGTAAAACCTGAGTGATCCTACCACCCAGCTCTGAGTGTGACCCCTGAGTGATCCCCCAGCTCTGAGTGGCCCCTGAGTGATACTCCCCAGCTCTGAGAGTGACCCCTGAGGTGTGACCCGCCCCCAGCCTGAGTGTAGCCCTGAGTGATCCCCAGCTCTGAGTGTGACCCCTGAGTGATCCTCCCCAGCTCTGAGTGTGGCCCCTGAGTGATCCTCCCCCAGCTCTGGAGTGTGACCCCTGAGTGAACTCCCCCAGCCTGAGTGTGGCCCCTGAGTGATCCTCCCCCAGCTCTGAGTGTGACCCCTGAGTGA